CTCTCCTGTACAGTTGCGGTACAAATGACTCTCCTGTACAGTTGCGGTACAAATGACTCTCCTGTACAGTTGCGGTACAAATGACTCTCCTGTACAGTTGCGGTACAAATGACTCTCCTGTACAGTTGCGGTACAAATGACTCTCCTGTACAGTTGCGGTACAAATGACTCTCCTGTACAGTTGCGGTACAAATGACTCTCCTGTACAGTTGCGGTACAAATGACTTTCCTGTACAGTTGCGGTACAAATGACTCTCCTGTACAGTTGCGGTACAAAATGACTTTCCTGTACAGTTGCGGTACAAATGACTCTCCTGTACAGTTGCGGTACACATGACTCCTGTACAGTTGCGGTACACATGACTCTCCTGTACAGTTGCGGTACACATGAATTTCCTGTACAGCTGCCGTACACATGACGTTCCTGTATAGTTGAGGTACATATGACTTTCCTGTACAGTTGCGGTACACATGACTTTCCTGTACAGTTGCGGTACAAATGACTTTCCTGTACAGTTGAGGTAAAAATGAATTTTCTTGCTTTGTTGAACATTTTGAAGCCAAAGCAAAACTGTCCAATTTGGCAACACACAGAAGTTTCCAAGTTTTAACCGAGTCAACAAAATGATTTTAATGATTTGTTTAATCAGTAATCCAGCCCCTTCTGATGATAGCACTGAACTTGGCCGTCAGATGGGAGAAATTTATCTCTAAGTATAACCTTAAGGAATTATAACTGAAAAAAAATTCATGAAGACATCCCGAGAACCGTCCATCAATGACCGTGGTTTTATTCATTTCTTGGCTTTAGCGTGCAAAATAAATAAATAAATAAATCTATGTTGAGATCGCTGGTGTTGTTCTGAATGTATATTCATGATTTGATTCAAGATACGTGCATGGCATCTTGTTTACATTAACAAGCATCACCAAAAGTCAAACACAGATCCTGTGTGACAAAATAACAGACAACACATTGTTAGGAGCACGCCTTCCAGCTACACATCATAATCTCCCCAGTTTGAAGTGGCAAATAATTAAACACCTAATTATGGAAGTATACTATTTCCTTTAAAATAACGTAGAGCCAGTGTTTTCTTCTATTTTATTTAAAAAAAAACAAAACAAAAAACACCAACAACAAATAACAAGTTTTACGATAGGCCTGTAAATATATTTATACATAGGCCTATACATGGGCGCCTGCAAAAAAACTTTCTGGTAAGGGGGGGGGGGCAAAAAATCGATTAACTTTCCAGGGGCGGGGGCAAAAAAAATGTTAGTAATGTTTTAATGTAGTTTTAATTTTCTGTAGCGTATTTGTATGGTGAACGAACGGACAGGACATCAGCTTATTTACTTTCTCTTTATTTTCTCTTCACTTTAATACATTTTTTGTCTATTTTTGTCTAAAATTTCTTTATCCAATCAATCCAGGGGGGGGGAAGTGCCCCCCTTGCCCCCCCCCCCTGCGGGCGCCCCTGGGCCTATATATTAATTAGTTGTGGTGTAGTGAACGAACGGACAGGACATCATCTTTTTTTTTTTCTCTTTATTTTCTCTTCACTTTAATACTTTTTTTGTCTATTTTTGTCTAAAATTTCTTTATCCAATCAATCCAGGGGGGGGGAAGTGCCCCCCTTGCCCCCCCCCCCCTGCGGGCGCCCATGGGCCTATATATTAATTAGTTGTGGTGTTACTATTGTTGATACGGTTGTTGTTGTAGTTAGTGTAGTTGTCGAGTCAGACATGCGTCCGTTTTATAGAACTAATTGGGCAGTCTCATTGCGGCTCTATTTGTACAGGAATGTTTATCATAAATTTCCGAGTCTCCTAATAATATTGGTGGGGAGATCTAGGGTGGTGTAATAATTTTATTTTATCAATTTGATATTAAATTTTTAAAAAGTCACATCTAAATATGTAATTAAACGTTTTTAGCTAACCTTACCAATAAATCCTGGTTGAGCGCGGAGTTAAATGCTGCACGTTATCAAGACAATCGTCCATAACAGAACTAGAGTTTTAAAAAACAATATAAAAAAAATAATTAGTCTACACAGCAGAACCAGAATAGATTATAACCTGAATGGTAAAGGGGCAGTAACTACAACTTAACATGAACTGAGCAGACGAACAGGAAGGAAGGAAATGTAACTCGACTCTCCCACAGGCTACAGCATTTAATGAACTCGTCCTCATGTTAATTATGTTATTAAAAGCCGCCAAGTTCGGGCTTAAAAGTAAATATATTAATTATTAATTGCTTAAATATTTTCTCGAGTTTTACTTGAAACGGCATGTGTTGTTTGAAAAGAGTAATATTGTTGGAATGAACACTTTTTTTTTTAAACATTAAAAAAATTACCTGAAGGCAGCAATCGGGTACAGTACAGGAAGTTTTTTTTCGAAAGAACTTTTTCCAACGGAAATTCTATTGCAATGAAATAATATGGGGGGGGGGGGTGAATAATAAATTGATAACAATAAATTTGAAGGGCTCTTGATTTTTTTTTAAACAATATATTTTGTCATTTTGACGGTATGGATGACTGTTCATTTTATCATACAATACATTATGTCACTTTGACAGGATGAATGGCTTTTATTTTTTGTCATATTATACATTGTGTCACTTTGACGGGATGAATGACTGCTGTTTGACGGTATGAGTAGCTGTTGTTTTTATCATGCAATACAAGTTGACCGCAGGAAGGCTGTAGAAACAATGTCCAATGTTTAATGACGTCAAGACACCTCAGATTGGTACATGTGCAGTAAATTATAACAGCACAACAAAACATAGAGCTAGTTCATTAAATAAAGGTACCAAACCAATAAAACAGACATGAAGACACAAGAGATCACTGAACATAGTAACATAATAATTCCATAGACAATAGAGCTCACTATATAGGACCTGGTTTTTAGTATGACTTAATGGGCTTGGCTTAATGGGCTTGGGGTGGGGTGAAAAGTGATAAAGGCTTTTTAAAAAAAATATATATTTTAAAAAGGTGGGGGGGGGGGGGGGGGGTAAAATGTTTGTATGCTTAAATAAAATTATATTCGTTGAATGAGAAAGAAATGAAAGTGACAAGTGAGTTAGATAGGGTCAGAGTTTACCAAGCAAATGTGTTAAGGAGTCAATTAAAAAAAATATATATTTTAAAAAGGTGGGGGGGGGGGGGGGGTGTAAAATGATTGTATGCTTAAATAAAATTATATTCGTTGAATGAGAAAGAAATGAAAGTGACAAGTGAGTTAGATAGGGTCAGAGTTTACCAAGCAAATGTGTTAAGGAGTCACTGCATTTCAAAAACATTGTCTCAATGGATATTTGTAAGAGGTTTAAGATAGATAACCGCACAAATTTGTTCACTCTACAAGTAGATGTAACTGCTATTTAAATAATTTCACCATAAATGTAAAATGTAATTTTAACAAAATGAATGGAGCATAGTTTTTAAGTCTTGTCAACAGAATTCAAAAAGGATTTTGATTACTCTCTAATGTTTCTACATCTGAGGCATTAACGCATTGGTTGACTATGCAAAAAAATTAGAATGGTTAACTTGGAAAGAAATTTTGTATTAATGACCAAGACTGAAAAAAACCCAACTTAGGTGATCTGGCTATACAGAAAGGATTTCGTTACGTCTTGATCAAAAGACGATTCAGAAAATTAAAATTATCAATTGAAAGGTAATAAATTATAGAGAATGAACAATGCACTTGCTTGACCATGCCAAAACTCAAGTTACAGACTATAGGCAGTTTGTCATTACAGCAATAGTTCCATTATATCCTTCTCTTTAAGTGTTGGCTGAAACGTTAAAAAGCATTAACAAAGCAGAGCATGTATTATTATAAATGATATCTGATAAGTTTAATATGCTGCGGCTGATTAGGGTTATGTATTGATTGTGATTATTGACTGTCTGATGGAGAACCAGAACTATTCCTATAGGTTTTAGAGGTGGGCGAGAGAAAATCTGGCTCCAACTGGACAACAGAGGACAGGGCTCAGAAGAAGGAAAGAAAACAGTTTGAATGTTTTGATCTACACAAAAATATGAATGTGTAAAGCATCTATGATGTAACTTTGGATCGGTTAATTTTTTCCTGTCATGAATACATGACACCTTCTGCAAGAATAAGAATTGTGGTTTTACTGCCATCTCCAATAGATATTGTTGAATTAAATATTACAATGTTACATACCTGCTGTATTATTGCGTCCCTAATGTATTAATAGATTAAACATTCACAATGCATTGTTGCATTCAACATCCCTACTGAATCAAACCATTAAAAAAACACAACTAATATATTGCTGGCGTAAACATCCCTACAGTATCCTATCCGGAAATAAATACCATACCCAAGCAATTTATTTGTATGGAACCAATTTGTACTGAACCAATTGTACAAAGGAATTTTGTTTGAGATGAATTTTGTTTGAACAGAAGTTTCTTCAACAAAGATTTGCTCAAGTGGACCTTTTTGTTCAATTTCCTTTTAAATATTGATCCGATATGCTTCAAATAAAAAAAACTCTCTATCAAAAGCATGCCATAAATTTTAGTTTATAGTAATTTTAGTTTTGCTAAATTCACCAATAATTAAATTAACATACTTTGTTGTTATGTTTTTAATTTAAAAAAAAAAAATTTTAAACAAATTTCCATTCTAACAAATCTCAATTTTCATTTTGAACAAACTACAGCTCAAACAACATTCCTATGTACAAATAAATTTGTTTGGTACAAATTTCAAGTAAACTACTGTCTCAATGGATAAAATATCCATAATGTATTAATCCTTAACCTATCAATTGATTAAATATCCGTCGCACAATAAGATTAACATATGATAAAGTGACATACATATATTATATATATTTAATATACCATAAAATGATTTTTCCAATAAATATGTTAATTGCTACATAAAAATATGTGCATTTAAAATAAGTTTGTGTAAGAATAAATCTAACAAGGACACTGTAAAATAAAATTATGCTTTAATACTATCATACTTTACAGCAAAACAAAATATCTCATATTGAAAAAAAAAATGTGCACATTCTCCAAAGAATAATCATAAAATAGGCGAAAAAAGGAGAGAGAGGGGGGGGGGGGCGGGGGACGGGCCAACCCAAGGGCTTAAGAAATAAAAAAACCATATACAGCAAAACAAAATATCTCATATTGAAAAAAAAAATGTGCACATTCTCCAAAGAATAATCATAAAATAGGCGAAAAAAGGAGAGAGAGGGGGGGGGGGGCGCGGGACTGGCCTACCCAATGGCTTAAGAAATATAGAAACCATTGTCAGTTGGAGGGCCCGAGGGCTAAACTGTAAAATCATCTTCTTTAATACATCAACATGCTGACTATTCACTCTAAGTAATGTATCTGTTGCTCACCGTTTGTCTGGAGGTGCAACAGAATTGTGACTAAATACAAACCCAAAAAATTTAACAAAAGCAGATTATGCTGACTGGTCAAGCAGTTACTTATCAAATTTAATAAAAATTTCAAGCACCCCCCTAAAAAAACTTTCCAGAGAATACATTAGATCATTTAACTTTGTGCCAAATGATGACCAGACGTCATTAGTGTCCTTACCAAAGTGTGAATACTAAACTTCTATTTTTCCCCCATTGAAATATACTGCATATAATTAAAATTAAAGAATATTGGGATTTTTACTATGACATCTCAGCTTTCTCTCCCTGCCATATTTTATTTTTAAAAGGATATTTCAAATATTAAAAATAGCAGGGTACAAATGACTGAAAACTGTGCATACCTTTGCCAATCAGATACATTGTGTTTTAGTGCGTGCTGGGCAAGAAATATAAGCTGTGTTGGGTCAATGCTACCCATAAGTTAGGCCAGTGATAGATAGTTTAACACATTAGATAAGGGCATGATTTAAAAAAAAAAAATTTGAATCCACCATATTTATAGTTTTAAAAATGTATTAAAAAAAACAATACAAGGATTGCCAGCATGCATTTAATACAAGTAATTTTGACTCTGGCATAACTACTCATGGATGAGCTTGCATTTTTTTTATTGATCATGTGGTCCTACAAATTATGTTGCATGAGTTTGTGACACAAGGGACATACACGAGTGGGACAGCCGTTGTTTTGCAAACAGAAAGATAATAAAGAGAACAAAGGTAAATTTGCCAGAGAGAGTTAATCACAGAGTTCAATGTTTGTTTTTTTTTAAACAAAAGAAAACAATATTCCTTTAAGTCTAATCAAAATAATTAGGATTACTTAAAAAAAAAATAAATAAAAAATAACAGCTCTTTCAAATGGTAAATATTCTGCTTCAGTTAGCACAAATAAGATAAGCAATAAATGTCAGAAAGCACATTGCTCTGAACATCTTTAAAAAAAAATGGGGAGGGGAAGGGGGGGGGGCAGGCGGGAAATGAACGAAAGAGATAATAAACCAACCAAAACTAAAACAAACAAAAGAAAACATTTGTATTTTCCATTCTCATTAAAAACAATTTGTTCCACATTACAACATTTTGATACATCATTTTACAAAACAGAATGGGAATTTTTTAAGGAAAAAAAAAAAAAAACAGAAAAAAAAAAGAGCACATGAAAACATTTTAATATTAAGAACAACAGACAACATGGCTAATATTGAGAGTACCATAGAACAAAATCTCATTGAACACAGCACTAAATGCTTTTTTTTTTTTTTTACATCAAGATTTAAAGCTCACCAAGCTGTTGATTTGAAGACTCCAAGAGACTACAATTTAACACCTACACGTCCAATAAGTACAACGAGTCATTGACATCAGCGGCATGTCACATCATATATATTATTTTCTCCACTGTTTGATCAAACTGCACCCCCCTCCCCCTAGACCTTTAAAGACATACTTTCTGCACGATCCACCAGAGTCCCTTATAGTATAGGTTTGTGTATCAGCACACATTTATTTTGACTCCCAACACTAGCTAAAACTAAACACCCCCAACTCCCAAAAAATATATACAATTTTTTTTTGTTATTATCATATTGGGGCTCTTAACTCAGGGTCTATGGCTACAACTGAATTATATATATGAACTGTTACAAGAAAATCATGAAAAAAAAAATTGAAATTCCTTAAAATATGCCCAACACTGCAGTAAAAAGATCAGTGGAGCTGGTTCTAAGTGGGACACCATGCAAAAATCTTTTTTTGCATTGGAAACCATACTAAATCTTTAATTTTGATGTTTGCAAAGGATGCAACATACGCTCTATTTATAGTTGAAGGAATTTAATGAATATATTTATGTTTTGTTAAGGTATCATTGTATCTTCTTGATTTGTTTTGATGCTAAATTTTTTTTTTAGAAAACAAGAGTTTAAGTGTAACAAGACATGTGCATGATACTAATCAATAATCATGATTTTTACTTATTCTCAAAATGATAGCAATGTCTTTAATCCCAATATCTACTAAATTATTGACCAAAAATATAATTGTTAACTTTACAATTCTTATTTAAGGAAAATTTTGGTTTCACAATCTTGCACGCAAAAGAAATATTGATACATTTTTTAAATGTTACATTTTACAAAACTAAAAACATATTATTCCATTCCAAAGAATCACACTAACATCAATCAACAAAAAAAAAAAAAAAATTCAAGTGCAAACAGAGAATTTAAAATGAGTGACAGACACCCACCGTTAATAAATTAAAAAAAAAAAAATTGAAAATGCCCATACTATGCTTCTGGTACAATAAATGAAGTCTGGGCACATGTGTTTGACAGTGATGCTGGTCTGAAAGTTCCCGTACCCACTTTCACAATTGCAATCATTATTGCACTTGTATCAAAAGACAATCTTTTTTTTTTGGATAATTTAAGTCCAGATACACACCACACACATAAAATAAATGTTTATGCTTCTCAGTTCATACACAGTTTTTCTATCTAGTCTATCTCAGGGCTGTGAATTAAATTGTAAGTTTTATTACAAGTCTGGATGATGGAGACGGTGAAGGATTTTGGACAACTTCAAATGGTCTCCTTCATGTCGGCTGTCTGGAGAATTAAAAAAAAACTATTCCCCAACAGCCAACACAAAGTTCATAAAGAAACCTTAGGTGTAAAATGACCAACACTTACACTAATCATGCTGAAGCCATATGAAGTTCACCTCACAAATGAATGCTCTAATACTGATTTTTTAAAATTTGTAACAAATTCAAACTTCTGGGGGGAAAAAAAAGGCAAAGATGTTTGATACTGTGCTGCTGTTGTTACAAGCATGTCATTGAGAAACCTTTGTTAAAAACAATAGCAATTTGTTACATATGTATAAATAGATATAATGTATATATATAAAGAGAGAGAAAGAGAGAGAGAGGGAAAGAGATATTAAGATTGAGACAAAAAAAAAGAAAAAAAAAGAAAAAAAAAAAAGAGTATTTAAAAAAAGAACAAAATGAAAATTAAAAGCATGTCATTGAGAAACCTTTGTTAAAAACAATAGCAATTTGTTACATATGTATAAATAGATAAAATGTATATATATAAAGAGAGAGAAAGAGAGAGAGAGGGAAAGAGATATTAAGATTGAGACAAAAAAAAAGAAAAAAAAAGAAAAAAAAAAAGAGTATTTAAAATAAGGTCAGAATGAAACTTGAGAAGTGGCACTGCCAAACAATTTCTAGGGTAGTCTTACTTCAACTGAAGGAAAAGAAGATAACAGGTGTGTGAATTGTGATCATTTGGCGTCTCTCAATGGCAATCAAGCTTCTTGAGGAAACTAAAAGTTGCTTTTGTTTGAACTATTGGCTCAAAGTTTGAAGGGACAACTTTTCTTTAGTTTTGGATACTGTCATAAAGATTGGATTACAATAATTATTAATAATACCCAGTTCCGGTTTCATTGACTTCAAGAAGTGGTCAGCCTTTGATGTTGTCACACATTTTGTGAAAAAATGCAATCGAAACACATTAAGATGTATTAATTTCCTTAAAGTAATTTAACATTCATAGCCAGAGGCTCAGAAATAGTGCTGTTAAAATTGTATTCAATACACGGGATCTGACAGATTTATGCAAAATGCCAGTATATTGATTGAATATAGCTCATTTCATAACAAAAACTTATCCATTTTCCTAAATTTTGTTAAGGATACCCACAGTTTGTATAAGAAGTCATGGAGGACATAATACAGCTTTGTAAATTGTATTGCAAGTGTGGATTACATTTAATATCAGTGAATGCTTGTAAGGCCAAGTCAGCAAAGATATAAGGGGATAAGTGGCTGATATCTCATCATTTGCAGGGAGGCCTTTCAAATGAGTTGCAAAAAAAAAATTCTTCCACTTTGGCATATGGTATTGGAAGATTTTGAGTTACAATTTCATTGCCAACCAAGTTACCCACCAGAAGAAAATCTGTATGTGCTTTTTGTTTTCTATTTGTCAAGTTCTTGCCTGTATGTACATTGAGCGCACCATGTGGTTATAATTTCTCTCTCTATTTTTTAAAAATGGTCATACAGCCATTGAATAAAAATTCAAGCAGAATGTCGACAGTGAACAAGTTGACTAGACAAAAATAAAACAACTAAAATATGGAGCCGGCTTTTCCTTCTCTTTCAGTTAGGAATATCTATGTGGGAAAAAATAAGAGTGTCGCTAGACGCCTTTCCTAAGGAATTTGCTTACAACAATAAAAGTAGTGCACACTTTAATAAAGTTCATTGCAAAAATCGATCTAACTTCTTTTTTGGCTTCGTTAACCTCACTCAACACACTTGCTAATAAAATCCATAAATCGTTTTGCATACTGTTCCGGATGGACTGTGGAGATTTCTGCACCTGCACCATGTTTCACTGTCTTTGCTGCCTGTGCAGTGCGTTTCTTCATACCATACTTGGTGAGGATGTCTATCAATGCCAAGAAGTAAACCTCACGTTTTCCACTTTCTGAGGATGCAAAATAAAAGCTGGATTAAATTTTCAATTCATTTTTGTTTAACAATGCAATTTATATGACTTTTTTCGCTAAAATCATATTTTGCCTTGTGTCATATCTTCCATCATGATGACCCAGAACATCAAATTTAGCAGCCTCAATTCGCTCTGGGCCACCATTGCTTTTCTTTCTGGATTCTCTCAATCAGTAATGGACAACCCCTTCGTAGCCATAGCCACTGCCTTAACACAAAGTGGGAGGGTGGACATGGGGTGGACAGTCTGAAATTCAGCATGCCTGTCAATTTAACACCTGGCTGTTTTATAACAAATTGATGGGAGCCATGCCAAGAACACATATCAATTCCCATTATATTGAGGCACCAGTACTTATTTGTCCATATACTAATCCTTGATATCTAAAAATCTAACTTACTAAAAAATATTTACAACACTGTAGCTAGCTGGCCAACCCAGCTATAAAGCATTTAAATATTCAAAGTGAAAAGAATTTTACTAGATGCATTATAAAAGAAATAAAACAGAATTTGAAAAGTGAGATAATTTTTAGAACAATATAGTGACAGCTAGAACTTCAAATGAAGCCTACGATTTCAGCATATCCATTTTCATTATGTATTGGCAAGCTGCCAGTTTTAGTTGAGAGTTTCTGATTAAGTCTTGTGAGCTCCTTAAAAACTTCCTCTAAATAATCGAATGGCCACCTACCCTCATTACTTAAGACACCATAACGTTCCAAATCAGGGTCCAATTCACCCAAAAATTGAGGCATCGGTGTGACGGGTGTTGGGGAGTCGGGTGGGCTTGGTGGGCCATCTGGTTCATCCTCAGTATCAACCTGTTTGAGAAACACCTCACATTTAGTTTTTAAAAATTCTTTATTTTGCTTAAAATGTAAGAAAAAGATTGAACAGTATCGATTAAATTGTTTTTTAGCTCAGATTACAAATGTATGAAGATAATTTTAAATTTTTAGGACTTTCGATATTTCTAGACACACTACAGACTAAATGAGATACACTACAGGCTAACGTAACAAAATCTGAATTTTGTAAGACATTTCAGATCCATTGTTTACAATAAATACGATCATTTTTCTTTAAATAGGCTTTTATGGAAGATACTGTGCTGCTGCTATTAAATATATTTCATTGTGTAACCTTTGTTAACAGCTTTAATAATGAGTAAAGTATTCATTTAAGGTTTCCCAACTCTAAGCAAAAAGATAATAAATACTAAAACATATTTTAAAGTTGTATCAGCTAGAAAAAGCTTAACTCTTTAAACTTCTTGAATTTTTCATTTTTTCTTGAGAATTCTAGTGACCTTACAAGTGTTATTAACTTTTAGAATCCATGTCTATAGTTTATGATGTTGTCTATCAATTTATGGGGAAATTCCTGAGGCTTCTATACATCTTTGTTTCTAAACATTTAAGTAAAAGTTCTGAACACTGAGAAGTTGTGAAACAAATAATGTATAATCTTTTTAATGAAATTGTGTAATAACTTTGTTAAGATGATCAGATGCAAAAAAGAAATTAAAAAAAAACACCTGGAACTATTGCATAAAATCTGTTTATTCAGAACGAGAATTCATTTTTGTATATCATAAGAAGAAATTAGATCATGTTATGAGCATTTGACCAAAATACAAAATATGTTGTGAAAAGTGTCAAAAAGGGGGCAAAAATAATTTTAACAAGAACTCACCAACCCACTACCGGTACAAAAATTACAGGTCATTATTATTTTACAATTTTATAATTATTGATACATTACAAAAAAGTAATAAAACGTATCAGTAGAAAATTTAAACTTCACAGTAGTCAGACAGTCTCTTGTTCTTTTTTAAAACCAAGGTAAGTATCACATGTGTTACTTTTGATTGTAATTTTTGTTCTTTTCTGCATTCCTAATTTATAGAACACTTTACCATTCCAAATTTATAGTACACTTAACAATTTCTTTTTAAATCTGTGCAGTCAGGAACTTTTGGATGTATGCTATTGTATTTTGTGTTAGTTACCTATCATGCACTTGGAACATTATCAGTTTTAGTAAATCACCCAATGCTCAAATAATTTCCTTGATGAAATCAATTGAATTTAAAAATTAGGGAGTTTCAGTTCATCTATGCCAGGATGATCTTTTCAACACCCCCGAAGAGAATATAGCTGGCAATATCAACAAAATGTAAAAAAAGGGTTTATCCAGTGCTGTTCTTTTTTCTTAGCAGGATGTATCCATTTATCAAAAGATCAACACTACAAATGAATGAATTCTATGATTTCAAAATCTGATTTGCACAATATTTGTTGGTCTCTCCAACATTTGCCTAGATCAGTTATGAGTTTTTTCACAAAAGAAAATCCTTTTACCGTCATATAATTTGACGGTTCTATTATTTATCCACTGAACAGTTATAGGTTAATTATCTCTTATCCACCACATACCACCTTGCTTGGTTTATTTTTTCATTTTCTTCTGCTAAAGTCTGACAATAAATTCACTTTCCACAGTTTATCTTTATTGTCAGTTTCAATATTATCTTTGATGAATGCCATAATTTGAATACATCTGTTTTTGGGCCCTAAGTCATTGGCCCAGAATTGATGGTAGATTGTTGAAGTTGACCAGTATTTTTGTACACCCGGGACCTGTATAGTTGTCATGCACATTAGTGGTCCTAAATTTGTAAAATTCATCTGTTGATATACCAACATCACTCTGTTGATGGAAGGTTTAGAAGGTCACAAGGAAGATGGATAGCTGGTGTATGTTAAAAATATATCAAACAAATCCAGCGTGAAAAAATCTTGAAAAATCTTTAGGATGAAGAAACTGGCTCACTGTATCCATGCCGACATTTCTTCCCTCAGATGTAAGCCTGGCTTTCTGGCTGGGAGAAGCTTAGGAGTAGGAACTAGTGGGTCATCATCTTGTACATCATGAGTTTAACCTGTGATTATAAAAGAACAACTAATATAATATATGCTATGTAGAGGGATGAAATTAATAAAAAAAAAACAAGTATATAAGCCTATGCCTACTGATACTTCACTAGCATATTCATAGCTCCCAATTTGTGTAAAATGAATTTAAAATATGCTTTCATTGAATATTTTTATTTAAAACACACACAGATGTCAAATTTCATGCTTTTAAGTATGAAATATATCATCTAAGGCTGCTCAAAATACATTGTTTACATTACTTAGAAAAAGTCACTAAGAATAACAACTTCACTATTATCTAATGTAATAAGATATTCACATTTTATAAAATTTCATTTTAAAATGCCTAGTAAATATTTAAATGTGCTTAAAAACACAAATTTAACCTATACATTTATACAAATTGTAATAAAGCTCAGAAAAACATAGAATAATGCAACACTTGAATACTAACCTTCTGGTATTTAATACTTCATTGGATGATTTTCATCAAAACATAAATCAGAATGACTTGATTCGAAATCTCAATTATTTTACTCTGAAGATTCAGATCGTAATTGATTGAAATTTTCACCAGTAATACTCATTTTCATATCCTCCTTTCAAAGGCAATAAGCATAGGCTCGAGGAATGTTAGAATGATAATAAAGGGGAAAGACTGCAATCAGGTTAGAAAAATGGAAATGAGTGAAACAAAGAATGAGAAATCCTGAAAAAAGAATGCAACAAAACAACAAATGTATCTGCAAGAAGTCTTCATAAGTGAACAAACAAAAGTAAAAAAAAAAAATTAAATAAAAATACACTTAGCTGTAATGTAGTATCCAAGAGGACAGCAAGAGCAATGTCTTCTGTCCCACAACCAGCAACAAATACAGGAAAAGACAAAAGATTTAGCCACCATTTCAGCACACCTCGGACTCAATATAAATAAAAGCAAGAGAAAGATCATTAAGGTAAACTCAGCCAACCAAGAGCATGTCTCTCTGGCAGGAAATGCACTGGAAGAAGTGGAGGCCTTCACACACTTAGGCAGCACTATTGACATAAATGGTGGATCCGAAGCAGATGTCAAGGCTAGAACTGGAAAGGTTAGGTCAGCTTTTGTGCTATTAAAGAAAATCTGGGAGGCAAAGAAAAAGTCAGAATTTTCAACACAAATGTCAAAAACAGTCCTACTAAATGGAGCCGAAACTTGGAGAACAACAGCGAGCATCATGCAGAAAGTACATACCTTCACAAACACTTGCCTTAGAATGATTCTAACATCAAATGACAAAATACCATCACCAACAAAAACTTACTGGAAAGGACATACCAGGAGCCAATTAATGAAGACATCATAAGGAAAAGATGGAGGTGTATAGGGCACACTCTTCGTAAATCCCAGTTAACAGAACTAGACAAGCCCTAACATGGAATTCACATGGAAAAAGAAAGGCCTAAAAATATATGGAGGCGCCAGCTAAAGGCAAAGAACAGAACCAAGATAATTGGAAAATTCTTGAAGACGGCCTATGCTCACGACGGGATAAAAGACATAAGTAAGTAAGTATTCGTAGAGATTGCACTGTGACGTCGATTAGCGCCTAACAAAATATGCCTAAGATGGCGACTCACATGATTCTAAAATTCGTAAAACATATCAGTATTATTATTGTTTAATTTTTATTTATTTTTTAAATCTTTCTCCCAATTGTACTATGAAATAAATATAAAATTAAAAAAAAAAAAAGACAAAATTTTATGAGCGAAAAATAACCTGCATATTTACATAGTTACGACCTGTATATAAGAGGAATGAAGAGTTCAGGACATAAAAAAACCCTCTAAACTAGAACAATAATATTTTTCAAGTGGATATAATTAAGAGCTAGTTAGCATACGAAAGAAGCAAAAGAGATACCAAGTGTTTCATTATAATTATTCTTAAAAATTCATAAAATTTAAGCTTTTCAAATTTTTTTCTCCAGCTTTGGTACTGGATTTAAATTACCCCTTATTACATTTACATTGAACCCTAGGTGACAAATGAAATCTGAGATACCTGATCCCCCCCTCCAGCAGTAGAAGCACCTGCCTCAACATCATCTTCATCGGGCTCCTCCTCATCTGCACCTGAAGGCATGGCAAAACTCATCCCCCCTTCATCCTCCATGTCCCTGTCATGGATGCCCACAATCAAGCTGTAGTCCATCAGGTGGAGACTACTTAAAAACTGAAACGCAGGAAATTTGATGTGAACGTTTATCATTGGGGTAATGACTGACAAGTTGACTATTACTAGTTTAACTTGTTGACAGTCAGTTTTGACTGTGCTAAATGAATATTAATTAAACAAAAAGTCTATACCTTGTAATCTGTTGAAAAATGTTGAAATTTGAATTAATTCAATTTAAAACAGTATAATAATGTGCACTTAGGCTATATGCCCCCTAGATATTACCACAGCCACCTAAAAATTATTCATTGTGCAAAATGAAAACTTACATCAACATCACTTTGGAGTGTTTCCAACAATTTTTTCTTTTGTTCGGGACCAATATGGATTTTAGCACCATCATTAAGAAAGTCATTGTCTTTGAAGGTGGGTAAGTTTTTTAACTGTACGAAAGAACAAAATGTTAGTCCAGCATTCTTATCAAATGCAATTTTAGATAATTTGAGTATCGCTCCGTAAAACAATATGTGATAGCTGATAAAAATTGTAAATAATTTGCTCATCATTTCCAAACTTTGTCATGGATATGAAAAAGCTCAAGAAGATTTAATTAAATAGTAGACTCCCAAATAATTGATATCAGTGCTTAAAATAAAAATGAGGATTGAATGATCTAACAATCATTTGATAAAAATATATAAATTTGTATTTCGACTAGTTAATGATAATAGGTTATGAGACTCTTCCTTTATTGTAGACTAGTGCTATCGCACTGAACTAGTCTTTAAATTTTTAAAAAATGTATTAAGATTTTAAAACATTTAAAATAAATACTATACTAACCCTTTCTTTGTCACTAGCTTTTCTGTCTACTGTTGATCCCTGAAACACAATAAGAAACCGTATTTTAAGCAAACAAAAAATTATAAAGGCAAAGAATATTTGACTTTTGTATATTAGTTTTATTATAAAATTTGAAGTGATGGATTTTCTCAATCTAGTTGCATTTACTTTTTTTAATAAAGAAAGGATTCCCCTGATTTAGATAATTAAATAAATTAAATAAATGAAACCTTTCTACAGTTAAATTATAGGCTAACCTTAAGATCATATTTTTTGTGTATAGAGAGACGAGGACTGAACACATTTCTCATGACAACAACATAGGTCTCCACGTCATTGACAGTGATCCTGTACATGGCCAGATACTGAGGTAATAACGTCTGGGCGTGACATTCAACAATATACTGATGGGAGAATAGATACAACTTAAAATACATTTTATGAGTTTTTACTTAACTGTTCTGTTATTCAAAAAAAATATTTTAAATACGTTTTGATGTAAAAAATGCAACAATATTTAAAATGGAATGCTTCTGAAAATGATATTTAATGTTTTATAAAAAAAAAATGCCTTGCTTAAAAAATTAATTTCAGAAATGTAAACGTCGCTAACTCACTAAAGAGTGTGATTTACAAAAATTAATAAAAAGAGTTTAAAAACTAAACAAATAAAAAGTACCTGATGGTACTGTTTAAGCAGATGATGCATCATTTCTACTTCTTCTGAAACCAAAGTTTTAATGAAAAACTTTTTATCACGTGACATTAGCATTCTTGCCCCACTTCTCCCAGGAGAATCACATGATATTGGCTGTTGTTTTGATAATGAATTCTGGATAGTAAAAAAAATTATTATCAGGTTTATGCCAACATAATGAGCAAAAAATTTAATTCCATACAAATTTCTTTAATCCTTGTGAATATGATAAGCCTGAAATTGCAATGAATTTTCTCTGAGATAGGATAACCAGGTTGAAACTGTAGAACAACCGTATATCGCCTCAGACATTTGACCTGGGTGAATATCAAGTATAATTATACTGTTTCTACCAATGCGGATCCGAAAATTTATTTAAAAATTTAAGTTTTATTTTGGATACTCAATAAAATTGTGTATTGAATTGGTTGGCTGGATGGCTTCCCAGTCTAAATAATGTCCATTGCAAACTACTTGTTGACTGGAGTACAACCCACTCGTTGACTGGAGTTCAAAACTCAGATGAAAAAAATAAACAACATCGGCAGCACCCCAAAGTGTTAGAAAGAAACAGAATGCTGCTTCAACATTAACTTTATATCCACAAAACTTTATAACATTGCAATAAGAAAAATTCACGAATAATCTCCTCTGAGCTGCACACGCATTCTAACATCTTATTTCCTTCCCAAATGAATTAATCAGAACTTTTAATTTTAAATGAAAATGAACTTCAATTTTGGGAATGTTTTTTTGTACACAAATCATTCGTGATTTTTTTCAAAAAATGGATTCTGATGAATTTGATAGCAAATATAGATAATTCATTCTTTAATTATGCTAGCTGTTGTAAAACAGATTCCTGATTCAACAAAGTAAAATCAATAGGTTGTCAGCCTCGACAAAGTTATTGAGTTTATCATCTTGTCTTTTAAACTTTATTTTTCACCATGAACAAAAACAAGGAAGGGGAGAGGGAGCGGGGGCGGGGTGTTTAAATGTTGACAGAAGATTTAAAAAAAAAAACTCTATGCAATATGTGGATAAATGAGTTTTTATTTCATAATATGTACTTAATCACTTAATGGATATTTTAATATTCTAACTTAAAATAAACATTTGACGGTAAAACGGTTAATGGAACATTTTTTTCCTACATCTTTGCAAACCTAAGTTCACAAGTTCATGTAGAAATAAAGAATTCAAGATACAAAGTAAATTAATATTAAATAAAATTAAGAAATTATATTGAACAAAAATTCCATTAAACCATAAATAAATTAATTAAATTAACAGAAATAACAAGAATAAATAATTTACTAGTGAAATTGATTGGATTCGTCATAGTTTTTTATATTTATATTTTATGTAATAGCAAAATTCCTAAAACGAAAAAAATCATGAATAATGTGTTTATATGGAACAAATAGTACTAAGATTAGGCAAATAGTAGTCCCAAAAAACTAGGCTTCTGTACCAGGTGAACATGTCTACCCAGTTGTTCCATAGTTGAAAAGTGTTGGAAACAATGGATCTAATGTATACTTTGAAACAGACAATCATCACCAAACAGATTTGGGATAATTGATACAATATTGGTTGCTACAGGAAATTAATAGTATAATGATACTAGCAGCAAAATTTGTGTGGTTATTTTCTAAATTAATTTTTCAAAAATGTCATTTAAGATGGCAAGGGTCCTCACCATATAATCTACATCATCCAAACCAAACCTTTCTCTCAAATTTCGGAACACAATGGGGCAGTATTCTTTTACTTTAAATCTGCTTGGCATGTTATCCCTGGTGAGAGAAAAAAAATAACGAATTTAAAAAAAAAAAAAAATTACTTAATATTTTTTTTTAAATTTTTTTTTTTACTTTCTCTCAAATTTCGGAACACAATGGGGCAGTATTCTTTTACTTTAAATCTGCTTGGCATGTTATCCCTGGTGAGAGAAAAAAAATAACGAATTTAAAAAAAAAAAAAAAGGACTTAATATTTGGTTTTAAATTATTTTTTTTGGAAAATTCTTTTATGTAGCAAATTACAAACATGGCATCGAATACCCATCAAATTTGTAGGTTATTACAAATTTAAACAAATAGTATTTATATAGCAATTTATATAAAATTGTCTTTAATTTTAATGCTAAAAATGTTTCTTTACTTTAAAAATAAAAATACATACTTATTATACATATGATTGTCCACCCGAATTTTACTGTAGGATTTAAAATCATCAGGCATCAGCATTACTCGTAAATTGACATTGTTTAACTCATTCACCTGAAACATTAGTAATCACAAAATTGTAATGAAAATGCAAAAATTGCCATGGAAAGACAAAAGAAAAAATATAAACAAAACTTTAGAAGAAAACTTAGAATACACTCAAACCAACAGCGTCAAACTTTTAAACCAAGACATTTAATGTATGAGAAACCGAAGTTTTCTATTTGTTTTTATGAGTATGTAATTGTAGTATGCATTGGCAAAGTAAATTGGTGATGAATTAAAATGGCAGAAACAAAGCAAAGACTTCCTCTGATTTATTTTCTCGAGATCATGCTTTATATATGGTAAGAAGCATCACGAAAACACCACCACCATCCACTCTTTTCTGAATTCTCCCCTCGTTAAGTCTTTTATCATGTACTCAATTTCTTAATTTTATTTGAAAAATCAGGGGCAAGATATTCTTGAACAGTCTGCAGATCACTTCTAGTCCCCAGCTGTTTATTACTGCAGTCAAACTTGTGATTATAATGTACTGTTTAGTGATGGGGCTTAAAAGGATACATTTAATACAATATGAATATATTTAAATCATTAGGCGAGAATAAGAATGTATCTTGGGAAGAAATCAGCTTCTTAAGTGCTGATCTAATTAACTTGATCCTATGGGAAAGGACTAATGAATCTAAATTGAGTACAAACATGTTAATCCTACTAATTCAGGTGACAGCTGAAAAATGGAGGGAAGTAAAGCATATCTTTTATTTAGAAAGCCCAAGAAAATCCTAAGGCAGCCAAAAATATAATAGATAAAATATTTATTACTACTGTACCAATTATAAATAGTTCAGCCTATAAATCTATAAATTTTAAGGCAATTTAGGAGGGAAAATAATAATACTGTAATCCCTAAAATCAAATCTCAGCACAGACTACTTCAAAGAAAAATTGATTATTCTGTGTTAAGTAGAGAAGGAAAAGAAATAATTGGTGTGAAAATAAATTATGTACAACAAAAAAAAAAAAGAAAAGGGTGAAGTAGGACAAAGTATATGGAGTTGAAAGAGTGAGTGATTCAAACCACCAATTTGTTCTTCGCCCATTGATCTTAAGCTCTGGAAACAAAAAAAATATTCAATAGGGCCAGCATTTATTGTAGTTGCCATGGTAACCCTTATTGGGAATCTATTGGAAAAAAAAATTCCAGGCTTGTATTCTTAAAGTGAGAGCTTGGCAGCATACAGAATTAATGCTAACTTTTTACATACTTAGTTCGCTTAACAGGGAAACACAAACAATTAATTTCTATGTACCACTTAAATTTTTTTCCTGCATTCATAAAAAAATAAAATAAATCCTAATAACAAAATTAATAACATTTTAGCTTAAAAAATTCAAAGAGATATGTCATTATTATCCCTATTATTTAAAGGTGTAAATAAATGAAGTGATAGCATAATCGGAATCTACAAAGAAAGAGTTATTAATTGTCATTTCAAAGTAGAAAATAATCAGTTGTTGGAGTGCATGTTCTAATCTGGTTTGTTCTCATAGGCTGAGTTCTCCAACCTACTGAAAAAAAAAAATTAAAGGAAAACTAAATCAATACTGAAAGCACTGGAGAATGCCCAGCTTGTTGTGAGATACAAGCTGGGACTACAAGAAGTCGGAAGCAAAAAACACTTCAAGTGCTTAACAAAGCTGGTTAGGAATCCATTCAAAGATCCCATCACAAGGCTAAGGAAGGCAAAACACACCCACAAAACTGTGTTCTGGGCTACAGCAGGGAACTATAATTTCACTGAGCTATTGTGACAGTAATTGACTTGACATTTCATGGAGATAAAAATAGTCTCAGCTGCACCAGTGAGAAATGATCAATAAATAGTTATTTAAACCCACCCCCTCCCTCCCTCCCTCCCAAGAAATCAGATTAATAGCGTCAAGTAATACTGTGGGGACAACCTTATGATTCAGTGGTTCTTACCCAGAAAATCAGGTTTATTTGTATTTATATCAGCAATTTTTAAAGTGGGGATGTGGGAAATATATTATTAAATCCAGATGGGGATGCGGACAGAGTTTTATATTAAAAGGGGATGCATCACTGCAAAAAGATTAAGAACCCTGCTAATATTGATATATGCCTAAAAATAAATTGAAAAGATTGTAAATGTGAGTGGGTAAAGATCATGGATATCATGCCAATTTTGTTATAATTATTTTTGTTGTTTCAGAAATAGATTTTGTATAAGTAATATATGTTAAAAAAAAAAACTATCATATCTCTGGAGAACCCTTGTCTACTTCAATCTTTTGCTTCTTGTAGTTTTTTTGAAATTTTCTCTGTTAATTAATTAACTTTATTTTCATCTTTGAATTTGATTGGCTTGTTAAACTTAACATGTTTTGTATAAGAAACATCAATAGTAAGAAAATTATTCAACCTCAAAAGAAACTGAATGCTTCATGCCTTAATGATGAGACATTTAGCTTCTTTTTGAATCTGAAACAGATGCAGCTTTTTAGGCTTTATGACAACACTGATTTAAAAATAAGTGGCCAATAAATTTACATGAAAAATTTAGCTATTTTTTTAGTGTAAATTTGGTGAACAGAGAGTTAAAACCATTTCAAGGGAAACAAAGTTAACTAGAAATCAAGGAAGCTAAATCAAGATGTATTAAAAACAAAGGATGTGTTTCATCAGCTCCACTTCACTTCTTCTACAAAGTGGGCAGTTCCTCTACTTCTACAATTCATTTTTAAAACTTTAAAGCTAGTTTGAAGGTTGTACATTTTCGAAAGTTATTTAGCATTCAAAAGTTACCAGCATCTGCTTAAAATGACAATGTGCAGCAGTTTATAATAAAATGAATTAAAATCTTTAAGTTGAATTTTAAATCATTGATGATAATAAGGTCATGAATATTTGTGAAACTTAAAATCACTCAAACATAATGAGAATAAAACATGGCTAATATGATCACAATTTTACTAATTTCACATATACTGTACAAAACTTTTTTAATACCGTCATGACACTTTTGTTTTACAATACCATTAAATTGAAACAAACACACCAGCAATTTAGCAAGGGGGGGGGGGGGGGGGGGGGGGGCGACACACGACACAAATATCTTTTCCTGCAACGGGCGGCACTAACCCTAGCTATGCGCCTACCTTTGACTTTTTTTGGTTGTATTGTATAGTAAACTTTTCGGCATTATGTTTAGTCATCCAAACTTGTGGCTTTGTCCTGCCTCACCATTTCTTTCCACTCAGACCTAACTAATGCTTTCCTTTCCAGGCTTGGATTCCCAGCTGCTGTAGATCTTTTTCCACATCATCCATTCATCTAAGTCTGCCTTTTGAGCTGTTTTCCTCTGGGGTTTTGGTGATGCACCCCCTTCACTCCTCTGTCATTTGGCATTCTTTCTAAGTGTCCTGCCCAGTGTAGCCTACCCTTTTTTTAATTTCTGCTACTAGAGTGGGATCCTGATATAGACTGTATAATTCCTGGTTGGTTCACATTCTCCATCCATATTCATCCTTTGTTGGTCCATATATTTTCTGGAGAACTTTTATCTCCCATGTGTTTATTAGGCTTTCTGCAAGTTTCACTTGCGTATGTTACAACTGATCTGATTACAGTTTTATAAATAGTTTTTTTGTTGTTTTTCTTGTAATGTTTTTCCTTTTGAGTATTTTCGGACTACTGAGGTATGTCCTGTTTCAGACCAATATTCTTTCTTTTATTTCTGTTAGTAATTTGTTTCTTTCATTTAATAAAGATCCTAGGTATTGGAATTGATGTACTTTTTAAAAAGTGTAGTTTCTAATTTTAATGGCTTCATCTGTCTGTTCTTCTCTTACCATAGTTATGTACTTTGTTTGTTAACTTGCAGCCCTGCTTGTAGCAATGTGTCTTCTAATTCAATAAAGGCTTTTGTTATGTTTTTACTACTTTTCCCTAACAGAGCTATGTCATCAGCATATGCAAGATACTCAAAGGGTTGATTGTAGCGAGTGCCCGTTGGTTGTGGGTCTCAGATAGTACATTATGTATAGTGGTCTATCTCAAATGGCAGTTGACCAACTTATGGGTCATCTTACTTCACAACAACATGATTGAATTTTATTTGTATTTAATTTTGTTCCCTTTCAATTTAAGTTTGCTGCAATTACAATGTATTTTTATCATTTTTCTATCTAACACTAACAACATGTGTAAAATTAGTTGACCATTTTTTTTTTCAAAATCAAAACCTGGACATTTAAAATAGTTTTGCCCTAATGGGCGTCTAAAAATAAACATTTATTTGTGATTACACAGACAGCTATTCTATCAGTAGTGAGTTCTTTAGAAAAAAAAAAATTATCTTGATGCTGATTCTAAATAATTATATTTAGTGATAACATTATGCCTGGAACGGTGTAATAAAGTTACATTTTTTTTTTTAAATTTCAAACTTTTCTAGTCTTAAAATGTACTTTTTTTTTTAGCTCAGTTTAAACGAGGATGGAGGTCCAAGAACCAGTTCTATCACATTAAAAACAGTAAAATGAGATGGGTGTCTCCATTTAGTAAGAATTAAAAACTCAAATGCGATTAAAATGCCTAGTTTTAGCTCAGTAGGATATTTTAAAATATTTCAACTAAATTAGAAAAATGATTTGCTGATCAGAAAAAGCCCACATTAGGGAACATCTTGACCTTCATTCCAACATACTGTTTTGCCTTTTTTGATCAACTTTAACTCCTAGGTATAGATAGGGCATCTTTCCCTCAAAAACTTTTGGTGAAGTTCAAAGTCTAAGTCTAAATATTGAAAACCATTATATATTGATGTATATGTGTACCAATTCTCATTGATGTAGGTCCAGTCCAACGTTCATTAAGCTAATCCATATAACCTGCATTATCAAAATAATTTGGACCATGCTAACTTTTTAATGGCGGCAGATTCAGATACTTGGGAAATATTCAATTAATACCACTATTTACATCAAAATATTTGATAAATTGTGTTTTAGAATGAACTTAAAAGGCATTTAACCAAGAATATTTTAATTTGAGGTTTAAAAACCCCAGCAGAGTCCATATTATAAATTATCATAATTTTCAGAGTGCCAAAGTTCATGGTCACTTCCATGTGCTACTATTATATTATAATTCTCATAGTTTCGTTCCTAAGAGAATGAATGTGCTGTGTGCAAACACTATTAAATCATTTGTCATAGAAAGCTTTCATTAATTAATCATGTGTAAAAATTTAAAGTTCAAAAGAAGTACAGTAGTCCCAAACCATTATTATTATTTTTAGGGGACACTTTGCCTTACCGTGCCTAACAAAGACTATATATAAAGGATACTAGACTTGGTAAACAGAACATCCATATCGTATAAATTTGTTTACATGATGTTAATGCAAAGTTCATAGCTATATAAGCTATAATTTATTTACAATTGCATAATATTGTCAAAATTATTTAATTAATCCTAAAGTTTACTGAATGAACTAGCACTTTAAAAATTCAAAACTCAAAAAGTACATAAGCTAGAAAGTTGGATAAAAATGCAGTTCAGGTGCATATATTATTTCTTAATGCATTTCGTACGTAAACTACTTGTATACTTAATTAAATTAACTCCAGGCAGTAATAGTTAACTAACTAATACTAAATTGTACAGCACTTAATATTCTTTTTATTTGATTTCTGAATCGTCTTTGAACAGCCCCCCAACAGTACATAGTAACATTGCTCCATTATTTATGCATCTTTCACCCTATATGCCAGATGTTTTCATTTATTAGTTGGTACGCTAAATGAAATTTTGAAACTGCATGTTCACAAAAACAAAACAAGCAATTTAACTTATATTAAATTATTTATCGATGTTTAATTTAAATAATAGAACTTTCTGGAAAATTCTAGATCAGTCCCGAATGGATTGAATATTATTAGGCTACTCCTAACTCCACCAAAATTTAAAAATGGATTACGATGGATATAGCTACAGAGCTTGGCCTATATCCATCAATTTACCCTTAGGCCTATATTATTGTCCAAGTCTACTGGTATTTATTGAGCTTAAATAAAAATGAAATTGGGGCCCCAGTTCCAAAGCTGCAAAGGGGTGGATATGGTGAGTTCAGTACCCTTCAGTATTTGAATATGGATAATGCAGTGTATGTGAAGTATGTTGTGTACTATTGTTTGGTCTAGATCCACTCTCCCACGCAAGATCCTCTGTTTGAAATTATACTTATATAGCTTATATATAATATAATAAAGAAAAAAAAAGAATTTGGACCCCCTGTCCAAAATGGAATATTGTATTAAGTTCAAAACAGCCCAGTATTTCCTTTTTTTTTTTTTTTGCTAACATGCCTTCAGGTTTCAAAATTTCATTTAGCCTACTACTACTAACTTATGGGTGAAAAATCTGGCAAATAAGGTCAGAAAGGCTATAATGTCATGTACTTTTGTAAAAATATGAAATTTGTTGAGAAATAATATACGCACCTCAAAAGCACATTTACCGAAAATTGATTCTGGTTTAATTTTTTTGGGGGTAAAAGTGCAGTTCAGGTGCGTATATTATTTCTTAACACATTTCGTAATGTCTCATGTAAACTTACGTGTATTCTTTATTAATTAAATACAGGCAGTTATTGTTAACTAATACTGAATTATACAGCGCTTTTTTTCTTTTTTTAATTGATTTCTAAAGCGTCTTTAAACATCCCCCAACCAAAGTTACATAGCCCCATTTGTTTTTTAGTTTTTTTTACACACTCTGGCCAGATTTTTAATCACCTATAAGTTAGTATGCGAAATTTTCAAAGTGTAGGCATTTTCACAAAAAAGAATGAAATACTGGATTTTTCATTGCGTACGAGCGCCGCCCCCCGCCCCTCTTTTTTTTTCCTCTCAGAGTGCTCGGAATATACGAGTTGTCCCTTGAAGTCTTGAGGGGGAGGGGGGATTAGAAGTGGATTACCGACTAAGGCAGCGGGCAGGGCGAGAGGGGTGGGGGGGGGGGGGTGTCCACGAATTTGTGCCAATGTGTGATCATGTGTCCACTTTTTAAAAAAAAATATTTGTCACGTTGCAGAAAATGGGGAAATTGTAATGATAGAGTGGGGTCATTTATTGATAGTCATCTCATACTGATGGCTGCAAATACGTTGCCCATGATTGATCAGTTCTAATTTGAGCACCCCTCCCCATTTTTTGAATGCCAATGTGCTTATGTTGACTGATTTACGCTGAGTAAAATGAGGGTGAGGACTAGTAATTATAGTAAGAAGGACTCGTTTTGCTGTATTGCTGGTAGAGGATCACTTTGTCCATAATGACAGGACGACCAAGAAACAATAATTAAAATTGTTGATCCAACTGAAATTTTAAATGCAGCATTTGGTTTATATGCGCACTTTGTGAGGCAACAAATAACGTTGATACAACGGAAGGCGCTCCCCTTTGAAGAACAAAAAAGGAATGTAATAATTGCAATGTGGCTTGTAGACTGGCTACGTATGTCAAGTATGAGAGTTCCCTATAACTCCGGTTATATTTGATACTGGTAGTAAAGTTATAAAATAAATACAACAAGATACATCCAATTGGGCAGCATTTATAAGGTATCTTTAAAAACAGAAGTTTTACCCCAATGAATGGCTCCGTAAAAGACAAAAGATCCATAAAAATGTACTTTTTATCTCGTAAAATTAAAATATGTTAAAATTGTGTAAAATGTTGTATTCCAACAAAAAGATGGCATTTTACTTTGAATAAATACTTTTATAAAAATTCACATAATTTTACATGCGAAAATACGTTATTCGACCAGAAATACTATATGCACCTGAATTGCACTTTTGACTTTTTTTTTTTTTAAAAGTCTAAGTTATATTGTCATGTAGGCCTCTCTAATTTCTAGTCTGTACTTTACTGTTTAGTGCACCTCCATGATTCGATGGGTATTTTATATAATACAAGTACATGCACAATTTAAAAATTTCCTTGAAGTATACTTAAACTGTATAAGTTATAAGACATACCGTGTGATTTACACCCCACATAAGTACACTGAGAAGAGGCTCATTGGCACGAAACAATTTTAGCTTCGGCGCTACTGCCTTGACTTTGATTTGTTTCCTCTTTGTTGAAGACATTTTTTAATTCTATTTTCTAATATTGCACTTAACCGGATGATTGAATTACACTTTTCAAAGACCAACACAATCAGAATAAGCTGTGTTATGGCCTCTCACAGAAAAAAAACTAAGAAATCGAAAACTAAAAATCACATTCTCCGTCGGTAGGCGATTACAAATTGTAAACAAGATGGCGTTACCCAGCATACACCTATTAAGGTGAGTAACTCTGAAATAACACGAAGAAATAGAAGGAAGTGTTCGCAAAACAAAATGTAGCATTAGTTTAGCATCCTACGCTAATCAATTAATTTAAAAGATCTACACAATTTTCGAATAATATTGAGTTATATGTTATAAATGAGTAGTTTTTTTTGTGTACAATATGAAAATTTCTATATCTCCAAAGAAACTGTAAAATAAAAAGATACATGTTCATTTTTAATTAATTTAGTTTCTGAATTAGCATAATATTATTATTAATATTAATTACATTATTAAATGGCACCACAGACTTAAGGCTTTTTTCCACAAACATAATTACACAGACATTACATTAGAAACACTTTTTAGATTTAAAATACAAAACATAATTCAAAACATATGTTAAGAAATATTATGAGAAATAATACATTCATAGTTTATCATTCCAACTCATTTAGACATCATTATCATGTTAAAAAATTAGTAATTTACACAAATGTTTAATTTAGTACACTCTATTATAATGTTAACATTTTGTTTAGTTCAAACTTCGGAAAATTTGCCTGTCATTATTTTAGTTTTACTCTGTATATGTATATATGTATTGAATTATTTTGAAATAAAAAAAAAATTATCTATTACTAGGGGTAAGCGGTGGAAAATAGAACTGCTAGTGGCAAGTGACCGACCTCTCAAATTAACCTTAACATTGTTTTTATACATTAATAGAGAATAAAAATCAAACATCAAAAAAATAAAAAATAAATAAAATTATTGCATATCTTTATCAGGGTTGGGAAGCTACGGGCATCCAGGTTTTTAAGTGCGGCTTTTTAACTAAATCCAAATAATCCAAATATAGAATTTACAAATTTACAGAACCGCCTGATATTTAACCAAAAAAAAAAACAACAACAAAAACAGACCAAACTCGGTTAATATTTAAAGTTTATTCTTTAAATTTAAATTAACAAAATGTGTTCATCGTTAAAGTTAAAGACGTTCCCTCTACTCGTATTTCAATCTTGAAGCGGAATTGTAATCTTGTGTGTGAAATTGTATTATTATTATAATATTTTTTTATACAAACTTGAGATTTTAAGATTGAAACTTTTCGTACAGTGTTCAACTGGTGAAAAATAATAAAATCTTAGAACGGAGCCTTGAATAGAAAGACAGGACAATAAAGGAAGAACTTTCGGCTAAGAACCTTTCCTCGACAGACAGGACAAATGGGGGGAAAAAACGACAAGAAATAGAAATCAAGAAAAAAAAAAAAAGACAGAAAAAAAAAAAAAAAGCAAAAAACAAGAAACAACAAAAAAGGAAGAACTTTCGGCTAAGAACCTTTCCTCGACAGACAGGACAAAAGGGGGGAAAAAACGAAAAAAAAAAGAAAACAAAAAAAAAAAAAAAAGACTGAAAAAAAGAGTAAAAGCCTAGAACAAGTAACAACAAGTAGCAACCTCGAGACAGGTATACAGAAATAGTAGCAGCCAAGTCGGATAATAAAGGATAATAAATGTAGGACTGCATACAGGCCGTATTTGAAGGAAATAGTAGAACGAGATATGTGGAAGCTTGAAAAGAAAGACAAGACAATAAAAGAAGAACGTTTCGGCTAAGAGGGTTCCTCAACAGACAGGACAAATTAAAAAACGACAGGAAATGAAACGAAGAAAAATAAAAAAAGGGTAATCCTAAAAAGAACGGGGTAACAACAGGGTTGGGTGGGACAAGAATAATGGATAGATGGAGGCAGGTTGACAGTGTCACTCAAATTATAGTGCTTGACTGTCTGCTTCTCAGATTTACTTTATGCCTGGGTAACAAGTTAATTCATTTTATAATCGATGTTTAAGAGAAAGAAAAATCCACTTTTGTTGATAATTTAAAGATTTCAATTTTGATACTAAAAAGAAGAAATAACAATATACATTAAACAACTTTTTAAAAAATAATTTATTCTAAGTCACACTAAAAGGTAGAAAATAAATTTTTTTAAAATAATGTTTAAAATTCTTAAGATGCCTTACAACTTACAGAAAATAACTGTAAGGGGTCGTCCATTAAGGATTTTGCAGAGATTGGTGGGGGGGGGGGTCAATCTTGCGCACGTCGGCAAGCTAGTTTTTTTAATTATATATATATATATAATTAGCGGAATTTTGAAGGAAAAATAATAATCATCATGAAGAATCAAGAATTTAATAAACATTTCTTAAGGGAGATCACTCTAAATATTTGGTTGCTATTTATCAACAAATGTTAATATTGTTAACAATGCGAGTGTTTTTTTCCATGGTTGACTTAAATGTAATGATGAAATGTAATGCATTAGGGGCCATCCATATATTACGTACGCAAAAAGTAAATTGTGAGCCTCTCCCCCCCCCCCCGCCCTCCATGCGTACGCACAATTAGCTCTCACCCTACCCCTACAAAAAATAAATAAATAAATTTATAAACCATAATGATTATGACTTTTAATAGTAANCCTTTTTTTCGAAGTAGGTGGCATATTTATAGATTATAGGAAGACATAAAATAGTCTCTAGGACAGTGTCATAGGAAAAGGGGGTAGAGAAGAAGCGGTTTGTCCTGGGAAGCCTTTTTCTTTTTCATATGGTGGGGTGGCTAAAATATTGGTCTGGTGGCACTTATCAGGAGGGGGGGCACTAACAAGTGCTATGCCAAAGCTCTGGGCTATTAGAAAAGTATATTTGTTTGAAAATGGGGGCGGGGTGTCATGTTCCAATATCATTTGTAAGTAAACTGCCTTTACTGTTCTGCGTATGTTGCAAATTGCAATATGAGTATTTTTCACTTAATTTTGGTTAGTTTGATCATACAATTGTGGATCTTAAGGTCTAAAATGGCAGCAAAATTGAAATTCAATATTCTTGAAGACCACGTTTTTTCTTCCCACGATTTTGGAAAAGGTGGGGGGGGGGGGCATTTTGGTGGATCAGCGGGGGCAGGGGGAAAAAAAAAAAAGCTTGGGAAAAACGGCCGAAAGCCAGTTAAAATGTAACCAATTTTTTTTTCACCGCTGCAGTTGTTTGTTTCAGCCCAACGAAATAATTATGTCACCGACAGAGAATCACGTAATAATAACTAACTATTAATGTTGTGATTATTAAGCGAGTGTAAACACAAAGCAACTGTATGGAAATATAAAAATAAAAAAAAATAAAAATCGCAGTGATTTAAAATAAAATATCATGGATCTCCCAGATTTTTAGGTGACAGATGACCTTATTAGCGTGGAGATATTAGAGAGTGCAAGAAGTACGAACTTTCTGCAGACAGACCACGCCCTATGCTCCACGACGCATAATCTCAAAAATCAAAACCACCACCCCTTCCTCTGCAGTGCGTGCGTAATCAATGTATGTACACAAATCATACTGATTTATTCTGGATTTAGTGGATAAGTCTAGTGACTCTTTGCTCCTTTTACCGTTATTTTAGGCCCAGGCGTCTCACACTGTAAATTGCCGTATATGACTGGAATGTCCGCAACCGAGGAGGGGAGGGGTAAGCCACATGCGGACAATGAGGAGGGGGTGGGAAAATATGCAATTTTATACGGGCGCCCTTTATGGACAACCCGCAAGGCTTTCCAAAGTTCATGTTTCCAAAGTGTATCTTTAAAGAAACGTAATTGTCTTCCTTTGAACGTTCACTTTATGCCAATTTGCGTCTTTACGTTTTTAACAGTTGTAGGAATATTTTGTTAATCATGATTACGATTTAATCAAATTCTTTGTGTTATAAATAATAAATAATATACATGTGCCAATTTTTCTATTCAAATTATTTAAAACTATTACAGTGAAAATGAACTTAAATTTATTTTTTTTAAAAATAATGTTTAACTACCAGGATTATTTTTAATGACCAGCTTTTTCCCAAATTTGATTGCAAAATATTGCTCTTAGCTGTCAGCCGTTTAAAATTTTCTGAAACGTTTCTAGGAGTGGAAGGCATTGTATGGCCTAGGCCTAAAACCGTAGACCATAGTTAATCTTAGGATTGTTACGCTAGGGATTCTTTATAATGTGTATGTCAACAATTGTCAACATGGTGTATTTTTCTAATCGTTACAACTGAATTTCATTAAAGCGATTATAATCATTATAGAAAATTACTCTTTATTTATACAAATTTAGTCACTACTTAAACTTAAATAGCCCTACAACTACTACTAACTAGTACTAGTACTGGCCTTCTTAAAAGTTTTATAAACAAACACGACTAAATCAATGCCAATAATAGGGCCTACTACCTGTTAGTGTTACTTAGAACTTAGACCAATTTTAAGTTTAGCTTTATTAATTTAAAAATTCAAGTATCTACCACAAGTTATTGTCTTCTAATTTTATTTTTGGGCCTTAGTTTACTACTACTACTAATAAATAATACACTACACTAATTCACTAATTAAGTTTAATTAGTAAGAGACGTTGCCTTTGCATTTAACTTTTTAAAATAAAGTAAGCATAGTATTAGACTTAGACTAATGAAATGATTAGTTAGTTACTATTATATTTATATATTACTTAGTTTTTTACTTGACTAAACTAATACTTTCCTTTCCTAGACTAGGCCTAGTCAAATTTATTGAGACTAAGTTTAGTTTTTTTTTTAATAGCCTACCAATTTAGGCTTACTTGGATTGATCATTCATTTATTAAGCCCGCCTTCTAAGTTAAAGTCACAGTAAAAAATAAAAATGTAGTCTCCGCTCACTGCTAGGCTAACTAAAGTTAAAGTAAAGACACCTAGGCGATATGATATTATATGTATAATTGTAGGTTATAAATTTACTTATTAGCCTATATCATCATTTTATTGCCCTGGTCCTGGTGAAAATCATACTGATACTGATACAATTATCAGGTTAATAAAAATATCACGATCATTTTCATAATGATTCATATTGTTTTTTTGGAATAAAAATTGCAGAAAATAGTAGCCTACTTAAAACTTACTTTGTATTTTCTAAAATGAAAAAAATATGTCTTTTTGAGGAAGTTATTGTTCAAATGTTAACATTGTCATGCTCCTGGTCACAGTGGTGTTTGTTCTCTCCCAAAAACTATGATAAATTTCTGTATAGCCTAGGCCTAGGTATTTTTGTAGGAATAAAATCTTAAATAAAAGTAATATATTGTCCTTTATAATTAAGTTCCTTTATTTGACTTAGAATTCTAAAAACGATAGTCACAATAGTAATAGGCTTACTGAACAAATAAGATAAAATAGCTATCAAAATATTAATCCTGTACCTATGCCTGGCTATGGCTACCACATTTATCCTAAGCCTAAACATCAAAATTATGTTAATTAAAACCTCTTAAAATATAAAAAATGTTATTTTCACTCAGACCCATGCCACTGAGGCGACTACCTTTAACATGATAAACTTAAAGCTATAAGCAGTGAGCAGCTTATAAATATTTGTATTGTTTTTAGTTTGTCACTGAGATTTGAACTTTATATTAAAGATTTCACAAAAAATTTTGATTGCATTATGTCAATAATGGTTAGCCCCTTATAACAAAATTTGTCAAAGTCAAGTCTTTTGTCTAAGTCTAAGCCAAATAAAAGACATGTAGACACAGTGGAAACATTATCAATAAAAGTTCAAGTTATTCAGACTGTTATTTTTTTGTGCTGCAGTTTAATTAGCCTAATATTTGATAATTTATATTAATTTGATAATGGATATTTCTATTTTACTAGTCTGAATTTATATACTTTATATCTGTAAAATTTCTTTAATTTTCACCACTACATTTCATGTACAGTAATTTTTAAAAATTTTAATGCTTTTTTTTTCCTTTATCAATTTATTTTCAGGTTTTGTTCTGGATATGATATTTGCAAAAAGAAGTTAAATATTATTTTAAAGTAATGGGTTGGTTAACCAGATCTTTTCGTCGTAGACGCTCTACAATTTTATTCCTGGTGTTTTTGATTCTACTGCTGATTGGTGCAGGACATTATTTTGATATCTTAAACTTATCAACATCAGATATTGCACAGTATTCTGTTAGGTATATTAGATATCAACGATACAAACAAACAGAACAATTTCGTGTTGGCCCTGGAGAGCGTGGAGAAGCAGTACATCTAGAAGGTGACGAGAAAAAATTGGCTGATAGTCTTATAGAAAAAGAGGCATTCAACAGAATCGCTAGTGATAAAATATCTTTAGAAAGGTCTATAAAAGATGTAAGAGATTCAAGGTAAAAGATATTGTTCTGTACATTGCTGTAGACACTATTACTTGACACACCTCTTTTTATGTAAATTTCTCTTTTGAGTTATATTTTTCAATTATTTTTTTCCTGCTCAAACTTTAACAAAATAATACAGTAAAAGACAATCTTGTTTTAGAGGTATTAAAGTACAAGGCTAATACTTCTCTTAAAGAAATATATGATCTTTTTATGGCATAATTATAAAATCATGCATTTGTTAAAGCAAAAATTAATATCTAAAGTTTATTTCCCACTAATTTATAATTCATCATTACATGTTTGGGAACTTGAAGAAAGTTAAAATAATTTGTTGTTTCAGATGCAAGTCTGTAAATTATCCAAAGAAATTGCCTACAGCCAGTGTAGTAATAATTTTTCACAATGAAGCTTGGTCACCACTTCTGAGAACAGCACACAGTGTTGTTAATCGGTCACCACCTGAGTATTTGCATGAGGTTATATTATTGGATGATTTTTCAGATAAAGGTGAGTGTTGATTTTTAAAAAAATGTTGTATAATAATGAAACCTTAATAACTATCAAGAGTTCAAAAATGTATTTTACCTGTCACTTTTAAAATCATGTGTTCTCAAAGTGGGAGGGGGGAGCATTGATACGACTGCGTACAATAGTCACCACTATTGAAGTACAAGGAGATCTCTCAGATTTTTATACCGTCTGAAAACAATGAGAGGTGGGGAAGAGAAAATTTCTCGTGTGTCGGTGTCTGCGAGTAGTATAGATCGATGTTTAAGGAAAAAACGTTTAGCAATCAGATTGTGAGGGTGATAAGTTATAATGAGTTTTGTCCTGTCAACATTGTCGCTCAGACATGGTCTTAAGGCATCAGCACATGTAATATTCTTAACCCTTTGGAGGGCTGATGGGCAGTTTCCCTAAGGGCAGTTTTTTCATACTCCTTGTACGCAGTCGTATCAATGCTCCCCCCTCCCACTTTGGGACCAAGCCGTGTGGATGCAGTCGTTGCAACTCTTGCCCTTTTGTCGTCCAGACACAACACATACGTTTCCCTAAGGGCAGTTTTCAGATACGCGACGGTTTCCTCTGTACAAGCCGCAACGTTATCTACGCCATTGTCTGCACCCGCTGTCAGATGACATACATAGGGGAGACTGGACGCATCTCTCTGACAGGTGTACCGAACAACTCCGAAACATTACACAAGATAAACAGTGTTCCGTCTCCAAACACTTCAATAGTGGTGACCACCAGGGCAAGGCGGACTTTTCAATAAGTGCGATTGTGGCTAGCACGAACACCGCCAGCCGGGTCAATTTGGAACACAGACTTATCCTGACTTACGGCACTTTGACGCCAGATGGGATTAATGTTATGTCTCTGTTCACAGCTTGACCCTAGCTCCGCCCCTCCATGTTCTGACCTATCACAGTAAACTTTTTTCTCCCCCTTTTTTTCGCCGCTGCATATTTAAACTCTCACTCACTTTCCTTCTGCCACACTTCTATTGCTGCCCACAGATACTACTTACCAGCTAAGTGCTATTTCTTATTTATTATTTTTAAACCGTTTTTTCTGTTGTTTTGTTCGCTGACGAAGGCTTTCTGCCAACATGTTCACTGTTTTGTTGCGTTTATTTTTTCAGGTTTAACTCTACTCTGTTCTACTCATTTTATTTTGTACTAACCTGATTGCAGTCTCTCCCCTGAGATCTCATACATAAAGTCTGGGTAACAGAATCTTTAAAAATTTCTAACTACAAATATTCTCTTGGTCAGATTTTCTCAAAGGAAAACTAGAGCAGTATGTAACTGATACGTGGCCAGATGGTCTTGTTCGTATTGTCCGTACATCAGAAAGATCAGGACTCATTAGAGCAAAAATAGCTGGTGCTAAAGCTGCCACAGGAGATGTACTCATTTTCTTAGATTCACATTGTGAGGCAGGCCCTGGATGGTATGTATTAAAATACAAATGTTATGTTATGTTTAGATTAGCCAGGTTTTAAGTATGCTTTATGTAAACTGTTCAGTCTGCTGTAACACTTTTTATCCACACAGCCAGCATAATTATCAAATTAATTATCTCTAATTATATCTAAATTACTATCAAATTTATTATCTATTAGTTTCGCATTTGACAAAAAAATGCCATTGATCTGTGTAAAAAAACTAAAAATGTGACCAAAAAAATGCTTTAAACAAGCTATTTTCATTTAAAAGTTGTGCTTTAACCATTTAGGAATTAAAGTAAACATGTTTGAATGTGTACTCAATGAAGGGGAGGGTATTTATTAATTTTTCTTGTTGCTATTTTATGTAGACGCCAATCAACATCGTTTGGATATGAAGGTTAAAATCGTTCAATGCAGATGGGCATTGTGAGAAATAAAGTGTTAATGCATGAAGCGTAAAACAAATATATATTTCACAATAAGCGAAACATTTTTGGCACAGCGCTAGGCATTTTCCTTGTATTTTGCAACCTAAGAAAAGCACTAATGATGAAAACCTCAAACTCAGAATATCTCAATAGGGTGTTCCTTCAGTAATTATATATACATGTAGTTTCTGCAAAAAAAACAACACATTTGTTTAGCTGATATATTTTTAATATTTTTTTTATTTATTTTAAATATTATAATGAAGAAAAGAAACTGTTTTCTTCAATTACAATAATAAACATGAAGTGGAGTGTGGGAAATATTTTTTTTAAAGTACATTGCATTTTAACCTCTTGAAATAGGAAATATTTAATATATTAAAAGTATAATTAGAAACATGGTTCCAATAATTTATCAATATCCCTATTGTAAGTGAGACAATCTTTCAGCTGAGGTGACATACATTTCGAAAAAAAAATTACTAAGATGTCATACTTTCGTTGTTTATCACTGGCCAAGAAAGTTTGAAGGTCTTTTGGATTCTTCTTTGCATGAAATCCAGTTCAATGTAAATGATAGTTCAATGTGTATGTATTGACAGGAACAAATGAACATGATTGCAGAAACAGGATCATCTCAATTAAGAAATTCATTGGTTTAAAAATTGTGTATTTCAATTTCATTTTATTAACAGTTAATAAAGTTTAATTAGTAATCTAATATTACTTTATCTATTTTAACTTGTGATTCACTGTTTGATAGTTTTATAAATCAAGGAGGGCAGCTTATTTCTTTTTTCTTTGAAAATCAGTTTAATCTAAAAAGTTGATGCCAAGTGATCTTAACTCTCATAATCCTTAATTACTTAACTTGCTTGTTATTTGGAGAGGGAATACAATTGGGGTGGGGGGTTGTTTACATAAAGCAATTTTTTTATAGTAATGGCTAAAAAATTGGGGGGTTGTTTACATAAAGCAATTTTTTTATAGTAATGGCTAAAAAATTTGAATAGTTCAAATGGAAAAAACCCACAATTTTTCAATCTATGATGGTTTATGTATGTTTCTTTCTTTTCATATGAATAGTCTGAAATTTTTTTGTTATTTTAAGAAGTTATCAATTTCTTTTTAAATATAAAATTAAAATATGAATACTTAAAATTTCTGCCAAATTTGATAATTTTTGAACTGACACTTGAGTTTCATTATAGTTATTAAAAAATGTGTGATCTGATAAAAACCATGAGAGTAGAATAAGTTGAATTGAAATTTATTAATTTTTTGCAGGGCAATGCCACAAGTCTCCTTTTACAGTTTTACACTCTAACTGGTGATATCTGGAGATACATTAGCAAATATATCCAATGTTTGAAAAAAAAAAAAAATTAACTTGAATTTGTTGCCTATGTTGTTGCCTTGTTTACATTCTAATGTTTAGCCAAAAATAATTTCATCACACGTCAAGTTTACGAACAGCATCAGGGAGAAATGAGTTTCTATCATTTGACTGTTTTTCACTGAAGCATTTTCCTACAGGATAGAGCCCCTGCTTAACAGAATACATGAGGATCGCACTGCTGTCCTTTGTCCTGAGATAGACCTGATAGATAAAGATACCCTACAATATGGTGGCACTGGTAGCTTCAGCGTAGGTGGCTTCTGGTGGAGTCTTCACTTTTCCTGGCGACCGCTGCCACAACGTGAAGTAGAGAGACGGAAATCTGAGATTGACCCCATTAGGTAACAAGAGAGAATATGAAGAGAAATATGTCACCCTGTTGATTTTGGTAGTTCTTATTATTATGTTCCGAAATTAGGGAGTTTAAGTGGAGATGGCTCAGATTAAAGCAGCAAATACAATTTTAGGGCAAATATTTCAAGGCAACAGCTGGATGACTATCGAGGAGCAAGCTAATTGACTTGTGGCATTGCGTTGAAAATACCAATTAAATCATTTAAACAGCATTTGTCGCTTTCATTGCTAGGCTTGAGCCACTGTTAAGTCGAATAGCTGAAGACAGAACGGCAGTTTTGTGTCCCATTATTGATTCTATTGATGACAAGACGTTAGAATATTCTGATAATGGTGGTTACCAGACCGGAGGCTTCACGTGGAGCCTTCACTTCACATGGGATGAAGGCGAGCAACGAGCTGTTCAAAGCTCCGATTATATCAAACCTGTACGGTAAGGCTAGCAGCCACTATTTTATTTATCAAGGAGGTGCCATTGTGAATCCTGTTTCCCATCACCTCACCATGTAGAACCATTTTAGCTTCATTTGTTTGAATTATTTTTTGGCTTCGGGGTACATATGTTAGAATATATTTGTTGGAGCCAGATATCAGCCTTATTTATCAAGTAGTTAAATTGACTTCCCATCATAAAATAGCTCATCATTTATAAATAGCAAATGACACCTTGCATCTTTTTATATATTTGTTAGGTTTATGGGCTATCTACTAAATATGTTTTTGAATTTTAATACTATTTGTTTATTTTACCTATAGGTGATCTAAGAAATAAAAAATATTTCATTATGAAGTTCCCCAAAATAAACATGTCTGATTTCTTATAATTGTATATTGGTTGCTTTTGTTTAGTCTGTCCAACAGGAAGCAAATATCATTCAATGCTACAATCTAAAAACCTGTTAATTTAACAATTCCTGTCCTCATTTCAAATTTTAACCTGCATATAGTTCTGGCGTAGTTTTTAAAAAAAATTTTTGTTTTAAATTTGCTTTCCTCTTTACCACACTTTTAACTCATTTAAATAACCTCACCCTAACGTTTGTTTTTGCTTCTTTATCTGCTTGACAATCCCTGAAGTCAATTCTAAATTTATTATAAAATTATATAAAACAAACCAATTTTTTACAAAAAAGTCACATAAAAGCCCCTATCAATGCTGTCTGTATAACATTGATTTACATATAACATCTGTAGTCCTTACAAAACTAATAGATAGTAGGGCTACCTTTGAATACACATCTGTTGCGTTCACTTAACTTAACAAAACTAATAATCCATAAAAGAAAAAGAGGGGTACAATACATTTTTTTCTTTTCAATCTTTGCTTAGGAAAATTAAGCTATTGTTTGTTTTAGACGAAGACAGGTGCAGAAATAAATATCTCGGCTCACTTATTGATTCTCCAGTTACAGTGATAAAAGCTGCTTTAATAAATTGTCATGTTGGACAAGGCTAAATACTCTTATCAAAATTAATAGCAGTCATTTAATTTATCGATTTGTTTTGTTGTATTGGAGAATTTAATTTTATTGGTTTCTACATTAAAAAAAAACTTCTTAAGCTCTGGACATTTGGATTAGAAACTGGACATTTATGAAGTAACAATGAAGTAACATTGGCTCCATTCCTTGACAAATATATGTTGCTATTTAAAGATAATAAGAACTCAATTTCAACAGATCCCCTACAATGGCTGGCGGATTATTTGCTGTAGATCGCAAATTTTTCTTTGAAATAGGAGCCTATGATCCAGGGATGGATGTGTGGGGTGGAGAAAATCTAGAGCTTTCTTTCAGAGTAAGTTTTCATCCCCTGATAAATTTAATGAAATATACTCTTAATCAAGCACCAATAAAAACAAATGATGAGATATTAATTTTTTAAAATTTATTTATTCAACATTTTTTTTGTTAAAGCTTTCTTGTTACTTTACTTTAATAAAGGATTGAAAAATATGTAAGGGACAATAAATAATATTTTGCTCCAAATTAAAAAATATTGTATGCTATCCAGTAGTTTGCTTAACACAGTTGACACAGTGAAACAGTCACAGAGTTATTTCACAATTATATATATTATATATATATATATTTTTTTTTTAAATTTTATTTTGAGGTATATGATATGTGAATTTTTTGTTTGTCAGGTATGGATGTGTGGTGGTAAGTTGGAATTCATACCCTGTTCTCGTGTGGGTCACATCTTTCGAGCAAGTCATCCATACACCTTTCCAGGTGAGTTTGACTGTTTCTCAATGTGATAACACTTTAACATTTGCTGCAATAAAATTGGAAATGCATTCTTACATTACACAAATCTGAAATAGTATTTAACCTACAGATTTAGATTTAAACCTTTAGTCACTACATCATTATGTTAAACATTATGAATATTAAACAGAAATCTAGGCTCTTAAGTCATGTAGAACATGGTTTGATGGTCATTTATTACTTATATAAATTATCAGGTAATAAAGACACTCATGGTATTAACTCAATGCGCCTGGCAGAAGTGTGGATGGATGATTATAAAAGACTTTTCTATGCACACAGGAGAGATCTTTTGGTTTGTTTGTTTTTTGTTTTTTTTTTACATTATTATTTTTTATTTTTACTGTTTGGAAATTTCAATGCGCTTTAAAATAAATTATTTGTTAACAGTTAAAAAAGCCTTAAATATTTTTTCAGGAAAAGGAGATATATTGACCATTTAATAAGAAATAACCAATATTTCAGGTTAAAGCTTAATTATTTTTTTAAAATTTGAGATCTTTTATGGTGTCACTTATTGTGGGGTTATCTTCCTGAAATTAAAAAAATATTAGGGATGCATCTGCAAAAAGAAATTAAGTAATTGCTATACCAGGATTGAATTCCCAAGTCAGGATAATCTTTCATATCTGTTTTTTTTTTTTTTTATTATTATTTTTTTAAATTTTATTTGTGACAAGCTTTTAAATTCATTTTGAAATTGCTTGTTTAAATTGATAGAGTTATACTTGATAAATACTAACATTTATTTAATTATTTTTAATTGGACTGGTCATTTTATGGTCAAAAAAGTAAAGAAACGAATAACTGTAAAACAGGATTTCTATTTCCTTTAGAACCAATTAGCACGCTATGATGGGATTGTAAAATATATATAATTGAAACAATCAAATAAAATTTTATATCTCTTTTTTTATGATTTTTATATTTCTTCAAATTAAATTTATTTTTTAAATAAACATTCTCAACAGAGTCAAGATTATGGGGATGTATCAGAAAGGAAGGCATTACGTGAAAATCTAAAATGTCACAGCTTCAAATGGTATCTTGATAATGTGTATCCAGAAAAATTCATTCCTGATGAGAATGTCAAAGCCTGGGGAATGGTAGGGTGTTTTTCTTAATTTGTATACTTTCATAAATCATGATAAATCATTTAATTAATTATATTTATTGAAAATCTTTCAGAAAGACCTTAATGTATTAGATGGTAAATTTTATATTTTATGGTTTCCTTGAGATGGTGCACTATTCCCGTTGTGTATGCTGAAACAATATGATGAGCATCACATTTCATCATAAACAAACGTCACTAATAATGTCACTTTGGAGATGGCGTCGGTGGGTCGTCGAGCGCGAGCTCATAATACCATCCCCCGCCCCCGGCACACCCCTGCACTGGCCGACGCTGGATCCCCCCTCCACCAGACCGTGAGTAAGCACGCCAGGATTGGGGGACGTCCGGTTGACTGAAAACGCTGCGTTTAAAGCGTTGGTGGTCCACTCTGCTTGGGTTTGAACGGCTTTGCTTCCTCTCCGGGGGAAAGATGTTGCGTTACCTCCCCCCCACTGTCCAGGGAGTTGTCCAGTTGGGACGGAACGGTCACCTGGGAGCGGCTTTCTCAGGGCCGCGTAGCTAAAGTCATCGGCGAGGGTTTTAACCCCCACCCAGGCCTCATATCCATTAATGGCAACAAGTAATCATGTTACTGCGTTACTCCCGTTGCGTTGGAAGTCATGCAAGTGGTCGGGGTTTTTTAGCTTCGGGAGGGAACCTCCTTACTAGTCTGCCACGAAGAGGCAAAACCCCATGTGGACGCCTCCAAGTTTCCTCGGAGACGCTCTGCTTCCACGGACAGCATCATAAACAAACAAAATAATGATATAAATAAAATATTGATTTCACTCTGTGCTAAACATAATCAACCGTTAGCTAACCCTTTATTCCTTAATAATAATTCTTCTTATGCATGCAGTCTTAATTTTTTTACATTGTATTGTTTTGGACTAAGTAAGTTTAATGTCACGTTAGTGAACTGGAGAGTCCTTCAAGAATACCTAATAACAGAACGTTGTATTTTTCTTTCATCTCTAATTCTGTTAGGTGCGCAATCCAGACAGTGGCATTTGCTTAGATACATTACAAAAAGATGAGAAGTCTGTTTTTGATATGGGAATGTTTCATTGTCAGAATGGAGGCAGTGCCAGTCAAGTATGCAAATCTTTCTTTTTAGTACCTTTAATTTTTTAAATAAGAAATATAAGGATGCCATTTGTTGAATTTTATTTCTTTCCCTGTTGTGGAAGTAATCAAAGCAATCTTGGTTACTTGTTATCTATACAGTTAAGTATGATGTACCTTAAAATACAAAAGATATCAACCTCTTTTGAATTTTTTTTATTCCAACACAGGTAATGTCATTAACTCGTACAGATGACCTGAGACGAGAAGAAGGCTGCCTTGAAGCATCTGGAGAGGATAATAGCCATGTCTCTTTGAGACCCTGTCACAACATTCCAAGCCAGAAGTGGATACATGATAAGGTTTGTTTTGCTTGAAAAACTTTAATATTCTTATGTTCTGAAAAAAATAAACCTTTTGAATAATTTTTTGCAATAAACATAGTTTTTAAAAAAAAAATAATATTGTAGAATGTGTATTTTAATTTACTCATAATTATCCTTGCAAAGCAATTCTTCTGATAAATTTATTGACTATACATAATAACAAGGTTTTATGTACTGTTAAGTTTATATTAAATTTAAAATTTAAAGAAGTAAAATTAGAGGCTCCAAATTAGATATGCTAAATATTTTAGCATGCAATGATTGATAAACAGTTTTTTTACAATTTATATAAAATGTTCAATTTAACTAACTTATTTCATAGTTGACACATCATGGTTAACCTTAAGTCATCAGTAGAGAGAAATTCTGTTTAATCTTCCTTACTAGACTTAAGCCTTGGAGACTGATCTCCAGGATCCCTTCAAGGCATTGTTAGCAGTGTAAACAGATTGCTTTAACAAAGTATTTTCAAAAGTAAATATTTTCAGTTCTTAAGAATGAGAAACCAAGAATAATTTTAATTTTTAAAAATATTTTTGTAGACGAAAAGCACCATAGTCCACAAATCATCTGGAAAGTGTTTGGATACCGGTGGCTACAAGAGTGGGGAAACTGTCGTCATTAACACATGCAATGATAAGGAATCCCAGAAGTGGACCATGCAGCACTATATTGACATGTGATATGGCATTCTCTCTAAGTACTGTTACAACCTTACACAACACTGTGAACAAGAAGAATGCACCAAGGTAACATTTTGTAGGAATGCAGTTACGACATAAAACAAAAGTTGTGCCGATTAATTTTTTTTTTTTAAACAACGCATTTAAACAAAAATATTTTATATATTTTTTAGTTGGCTGTTGGGTAACTTAATGTCCCTTCGACTAAAATATTCTGAAAATTAAATTGCTTATAAGATGTGAAGCTATTCATTTATTTTAAAGTCCAGGGAATAAAAATGTGATCATTTCTATGCAATATCTTTAATTAAAGATGATTATTTTAAAGATTCTATTCCCATATTCCCTTCCTGTTAATCGAATGTCATATGATAGCGTTCTGTGATGTTATAATTAGTTAAAAGTCTGCTATACATAAACTTATTCCTGCTGGCTGCCCGACTTCCTTACTTTATCTGTATGCCTGCATTCTAACAGACAGATGACAAATGCATCCAGAAATGGATAATTTTGAAGGACAAAATGTAACGAGCAGCAACAAAAAACATGATTTTGGCACCTTTTACAGACACATCATTCATAGATATAAGACAGACCATACTACCATACACATAGTGTCACAATGAAGAAATTTAAAAACTTAGTTATAAAAACTTTATTGAAATCATGCCACATTTCCACAGAGGACATGTCATTTTATTGCTTCTCTTTAAAATAAAAATGAGAGAGGTTGTGTCAAAGGACACATTAAGCTGGAACTTTTGGGAATGAGTTTAATGAACTTAGATATTTTAGCCTTACATTTTGATACTTAAGAAAAAACGGATCTTCTCACCCTCAACTAAATCTATGCTCTAGCTAGAGGAACCGTCAAGTCATTTTTATTGATTCAATTCTTAGAGAAAATGGCAGTTCACTTGAGTTGTGTTTGAAATATATGGTCTCAAAGTTTTTTGAAGAATGACTGTCACTTGTGTAATTTGAAAAAACTACATGCATTTTTTTTATAGGGCTAACTACACCAGGTCAGCTCAGCCTGCCGTGTACTTCTTAAAAATAAGATGAGACTTAATTTAGAACTGCAGGACTACTATGTTTGACTTCTTGGAATTTTATAAATATTAAATCCCTGATTTGAAAGTTTTACAACATTCTTTTCTGCTTAGTCACATGATGGAAGCTACACAAAAATGGTATAGATCTTTATAGTTAAATGCTGTTGAAGGTTTGGTGAATACTTCTAAAGTGACTAGCCAAAGTTGTTTTGTTATAAGCTAAGGCTGTTATTTTTATAAGAAATCATTCTCAAGTTACTTTGCATGTTATGTAACTGCCAGTTTTGTTGCATGGGTGTATAAATTACCATCAAGTACAAGTGTGAAATCTTCAGAAAGTCAAAAAATGTTTCATTTACCTGGAGCAAACTTTCAAAGTATCAAAGCAATCAAATCTTCTTATCGATTGTCATCACCTACTTTGTCTTTAAAATGTAATGAATTTTGAAGTATAGTTTTATTTCAGTTTGGATCTATGTGAGATACGTCTTTGATCTTAATTATTCTTATTAGTCTTTATTTTTCATATTTACTGCAAAGGACTATTTTGTGCACAAATCTTTTGACTCATGATAATCCCCATAGTGTCTACTTTAAGAAATTACCTTCATATAAAAATAAATAATCCAAAGCATTGGTGCTAAGCGAGAAATAAAAATTGGAATTGACAGAGGATAAGAGAAGTGATAGTACAAGTAAAAACCACCAGTTGGTGAATGGTGACTGTTTTTTTTTTATAGGTAGGAGAAGTATGTATACCTATTGAGATTTCATCCATAAATTTTTTTTGGTTTAAATTTAAAAAAAAAATATTTTTCTTTGAATGCTTTTCATTTTTTAAATTGAACAATCAAATTATCCCATTTGAGTGAGATTATGTTTATTGCCTTACTCTAAAAGTTTACCTACTGCAATATCTAAAGAATGAATATTTTTTTGTTTATAGTTTATAGGGTAGTAAATATGACCATGATAATGATTGATTACTTAAAAAAAAGGGTCATGCTGTCCTCAAATCAATTTAAAGTAAAATGTCTTTAAATGTCTTTTAAATGATTTTTTATCATTTTTAAATTCTCTCAAAGACTGAGGCAAACTGTTCCATAATTTAGTGCAGTGATGACGCTTATGATCAACAGCATAATAACATTGTGGTTTGGCACATTTCTAACTAGAGAGAGAGGGGGTTGGTTGTTATGAGGGCTAAGTATAAATATATTTGAGATAAAGAAATTCCGAAATCCAACCTTGTTATGGAGCAACTTTCCTAAACTTCATTCAGAATGGAAATATTTGTTTTTTTACTTACATTATTTATTCTGGTCGCTGTAGCACAATAGATGTGACTACAGCTCTTTATACATGGATGGCAAAGTTTTTGATGTCTTTTGACTACAGAAATAATATCCTTATCTCTAATCAATTTCTAGTCTCATTTAAAAAAAAAAAAAACCAATATTGTGACTTATGGGCATATTTAAATCATTCAATTTTAATGCTTCATTTTTATTTTCTAATAAAGTGTTCATATGCAACACAAAAGTGAACATTCCATTTATAGCCATCCTAGTCTTGGCATCACCAATTTCTTAGTTAGATTGATTTTCTGTGCTTAAAAAAGGTACATGTTATAAGGATCATTTCCCCTTGCTAAATAAATTTATGAAAGTATAAATTCAACTGTTGTCATTTTCTGTGACGAGCTACCTTTCTTATTTATTTTCTCAAAGTTTTAAAGATCACTTGGGTAATTAATTTAAAGTATATTTTAGCATGAACTATTTTTTTTATCCTTCAATTGATTCTCTTGTTTTTTCCCCACTGATGTTCAATCATTTTTTTCTTTCCTATCACATTTGACCTATACTTTATATGATAACCGAATTGTATATACATTTTTATGAAACGTTTTATTTGAGATTGTATTCATTTATAATGGGAGTTTTCCTTACCCATGGGCTGGTATATACTTTTACTTTGTGTAACCAAATGTGTTGTCTCTTGCTACAATTTTAACATAATGAGGAGAAATTTCCCCTGTTACACTTACCTCCTGATTTCTATTGTAGGCCACTGACCACCTAAGGTCTATTGAGCGGTAAAAACATAGAACTTGTACAGGGTCTTCACAAAGTGCTTGTGCCATCTCTGAAGAAGTCCTTGGTCATCTCAATCTGCTGTTGATTTCCGATTCTCGTTGCTCAAAGACTTTGTTAACATTTGGTTGTTGGTTCCTCAAACTACTTTTATCATGGTTTTCTGCTCCTGGTTTTCATGGTTTTCTGCTCCTGGTTTATTTTAAACACCAAGTAATGTCAGGGTTTATTGCCCCTTGCTTTACATTATTTGGTTGCAAATAATTTTTTTTAAACAATGAAAATAAAATTAGCCGCTGCATGCTTGATAATACTTAAAACTTAAATATATTATCTTAAATTCAATATTCTACATAACTATACATAAATTACAATTTCACTTGTGATGGACAATTTATGAAAACCCTGGAGATCTTTTTTTTTTGTTCATACCAACAATAGCGTACCCTGTCTAAATGTCTCCCACCTTGGCAAACTTTATCAATTTTGGACCCCCCACCCATTGTATCCTATGTTATGTTAGCAAATAGCCCCCCCCCCCTTTTTCCATCATTCCCTTGTGCAGTTCTGGGCACTCGCAAACCCTTTCTCGCCCAAACCTGGTACGCCATTGCATTAAAATATCAAAACTTGTTTTTGTTATCATTACTCAAACTTCAAAGATATTTACCGAGTGGTTATCAAATGGATATCAACAGTATTGATGATTTTGAAGCGTCTTTGTGAAGAAGCCCTATCCATCTCCTATTGAAAATAAATATATATATATATGTATATATGAGATTATAGAATAAATTATCAACACATTTACAATGCATTTTATTTTTTGTTCAATACAACAGAATCTGCTGCCATGTGAAATTACATTTTTTTTTTTTTAATTTTTTTTTTTACTTACTACTGTTGATTTTTTAAATTATTGGGTCATTTTAAGTGGTTTATGTTAGAAATGTGTGTGGAAGTTTGTATTTTAATTGGTGTGCTTGAAATAAACATGTGTTTAAAGAATAAATTATCAACACATTTACAATGCATTTTATTTTTTGTTCAATACAACAGAATCTGCTGCCATGTGAAATTACATTTTTTTTTTTTTAATTTTTTTTTTTTACTTACTACTGTTGATTTTGTAAATTATTGGGTCATTTAAAGTGGTTTATGCTAGAAATGTGTGTGGAAGTTTGTATTTTAATTGGTGTGCTTGAAATAAACATGTGTTTAAATGAAATATCACTCTTTCTTTACTTTGTGTACCATACTCTTGATATAACATAAAACGTGGAGTTTGGTTATATCACCTTGTATATTAACAAATTAGGAAAGGTTTTTTAAAAAAATATATACATTCCTTGTCTGGAGAGATGCATAGATTTTTTGGAGATGTTGGGGGAATTTTGTGAGCATTGACTTTGGAAACTTGATTGGTGTAACATTTATTTAGGTTTATAATTTGTAGGATAAGCGACAACCAGCTGAGAACAGCAGAGATTTGATCTGTCTCTAATTTTTTTAAATCATGGCTGTCAAATTGGACCAAACCAGCCCGCAAAAATTATCCAATGACGTACGTCCTTATAGATCTAATGATGCTGCAGTCTAATACCTACGCTGGATTAAAGTTTGTGTATTTGGTTTTCAATACAAAGTTATCACATTTGCCAGGGTGAAAAAATTACGTACACAAGAATATGGCCGGCAACCTTCAGGCCCTGGCACTTTGAGCGATTTTCTATTCAGTTACACGGGGAAGACCAAAAAATAAATAATCATTAAATGACTAAACAAAATGCATTTTATAAACTAGACTTATCGGTTTGTGTCTGACTAAATAATGCATCTTATAAGCTAGACATCAGTTTGTGTCTGACTAAATAATACATCTTATAAGCTAGACTTATCGGCTTGTGTCTGACTAAATAATGCATCTTATAAACTAGACTTATCGGTTTGTGTCTGACTAAATAATGCATATTATAGCTAGACTTATTGGCTGGTGTCTGATTAAATAATGCATATTATAAACTAGACTTACCGTCTTTGTCTGACTAAATAATGCATCTTATAAGCTAAACTTATCTGCTTGTGTCTGACTAAATAATGCATCTTATAAGCTAGACTTATTGGCTTGTGTCTGACTAAATAATGCATATTATAGCTAGACTTACCGTCTTTGTCTGACTAAATAATGCATCTTATAAGCTAGACTTATCGACTTGTGTCTGACTAAATAATGCATCTTATAAGCTAGACTTATCGGCTTGTGTCTGACTAAATAATGAATCTTATAAGCTAGACTTATCGGCTTGTGTCTGACTAAATAATGCATATTATAGCTAGACTTATCGGCTGGTGTCTGATTAAATAATGCATATTATAAACTAGACTTACCGTCTTTGTCTGACTAAATAATGCATCTTATAAGCTAGACTTATCGACTTGTGTCTGACTAAATAATGCATCTTATTAGCTAGACTTATCGGCTTGTGTCTGACTAAATAATGCATCTTATAAGCTAGACTTACCGTCTTTGTCTGACTAAATAATGCATCTTATAAGCTAGACTTATCGGCTTGTGTCTGACTAAATAATGCATCTTATAAGCTAGACTTATCGGCTTGTGTCTGACTAAATAATGCATCTTATAAGCTTGTTGCGCAAAATTAACTTTGATGATGTACTCAAAAACTTTGCCATACGTAAATCTAGAAAAAAAGAACTTTAAAATGTAAATATGTGCTCTCTCTGACTTTCTTATCTATCAAAAAATGTTACAGTATTTTTGTCTACTATTATTACACAATTAATTAACAATTAATTTTAATACAGAAACACCTTCTTATTTATTGTAGTACAAACATGTGTTTAAATTTCACAACTGTTTTTCTTTGTTAGTTTTTTTTTGCATAATATTGAACATAGCAGCAGTCAGTGGAGGATCGGGGGCCTGGGGCAGCAGGGGGCACCCATGTGGGTTTGGGCCTAGGGCACCAAGATGGCTTAATCCGGCCCTGTTAGGGATGATAAGGGAATAAAGCTAGTGGCTTTGACGAGACACTGGGGAAAAACAGTAAATAAAATGAAATGATTTAATAAAATGAAGAAAAGTTAGCAGACTTCCAGTGCAAGGTTATTTTTAAAAACAAAGTTGGGTGAGTGGGTGGGGGTTCTCACATTCCAACAGAAATATTCACAACAAAAACTGCATATCATCACGCCCATAAAATGCTAAAAAACAAAAAGAACAAAAAATTGATTACATCTGCATTTTAAACTAATTTTAAAAAATGATAATTATCAATAATAATTCAGCAGCCCCCTTCTCCACGCAAAGGGTTGCTAGATGTGGCTTTCGATCAACAATTTCCACTGAGAGCTTGGGGTGGAGGGGGGGGGAATCGTTCATGTTATTTAACGTATCTAGCCATCAAGTCTATAGGATTGTAACTCAAATGCAATGTCAGTCAAACGTATTATCTTTAATAGTTGCCACAGCCCCCCCCCCCCCCCACACTTTTTCTCTCCCTTTTTTACACCCACTCCTCTAAACGCCCAGAATATCCAGCGCTTCGAATGACGAAACAGGTTTTAATGACGGCGCTGGAAGAATCCAATGTTTGTTTGAGAGGGGGAGATAACATTCCACGCCACCTCATATGTGAATTTACGAAGGGGTTTGACGCGAAATGATTCACGTGTGACGCAGTGGCGACGGGTTGTAAAAACAACAGACAGTGATTGGGTGGGTGGGTGGGCGACAGTTAGGTACAGTGGCGTAGCTAGGGTTTGTTCCGCCCGGGGCGGGACAATATTTTTTTGCCGCCCCTTCCACGGAAAAAAAACAACAACCTTGCAGTGGGACGAAAATTCCGCCCCTCCATATAAAGAAAAAAGTGCACGCCAGGGGCGGATCGCCCTCTTTGCACCCCTTTACTACGCCACTGGTTGGGTAAAATCTTACTTACAGCAAAACCGAATCTACCCAAGAGAAGAGGTGGATTTAGAGTTTGTCAGAGATTGTCCGTGTCGCCCCCCCCCCCCCTTTTTCTGAGACTATTTTTTTAAAAAAAAGTTTGGGGGGGGTGGGAGTCAACATTAAATGTAGCAAAGTTACGTTAGCCAAAGATAAGATAAAATGCACATCATGCATAAGCCAGATTAAATGTATATATATATATATATATATATATATATATAGTATATATATATCCACTGCACCGAAAATGCACACCCCGAAAAGCAGCCACCCGGGGCGGACCGCTCTCTCTCCGCCCCCAGTCTTCACACGCCCGTGGATGCATGGTTAACATTTTCCCCGGTAGGTTTAACGTTGACCGCTCTCTCTCCACCCCATGTCTTCCCACGCCCTTCGAAACAAGAGTTAACGTTTTCCCCGGTAGGTTTAACTTATAGTTGACATACTTTGAACAAGAAATTCGTACGAAAACTTTTTTTTTGTGTGTAAATGTACGAAGGAATGTCGTCAAAAAGGAAATTAGTTCGAATGGAATGTTGTTCGAACAGAAATTATGGGGAAATGGCCACACACAAATTATTTTTAAAACTTCACTTTAAAATTTCCCCCTTATATATATATATATATATATATATATATATATATATATATATATATATATATATATATATATATATATATATATATATATATATATATATATATATATATATACATTTTAGAAAACGCTGATTTAGTATTTGATTTTATTTAAGAGCTTCAAAGAGCAAGGACTAAAGTTGCTAAGAAGCTTATCAGACCAGTTTTCTATTCCACAACAGTTGGGGCGTTATTTAACAAAAAATGGGTGTGTTTAGGACGTTCTACTGTACACAAAAGAGAATTGATAGAAAATAAATCTGCTTTTTTGTGTGCAGGTGGCTACAAGAATAAAAGCCTTTTGGGGTTGGAGGATTTTTGTGTAAACAATCGAGAGAGAGGGAGAGGGGTACACACTTTTGACGTAATATCAGCTTGTGACAGCAAAATGAGATTGCGTGTTTTAGTAAAGATAGCCTTGAGCTCCGAGCAAATACTATTCTATTCGTGAACAGAAAAATAAAGAAACGGAATCAAAAAATGTTATAACTTACTAGATAACAACATTGTAGAATCCGATGGCCTTTGAGCGGAGGGATTTCTCGTAACAACAACGTTTACGACTGGGCCTATTCGATTTAATTAAATATTGATACAACACAAAGTATTCGCAAATAGATGAGCCATAAAGGACGGCTGAAATTTAAAAAAAAATAATAATTTGTAAACAGACTGTAATGCACGCAGTGGTCTTAAAGAAGCATATAACAAAAAATATAAGCCAGCTCGCGGACGTCCACAAGATCTTTAACTCCCTCTTGTTCACTTTTAAACGAATCCCCTACTCCCCTACCCCCTCTACCCCCTACCCCCCTCTCCCCCTACCCCCCTCTCCCCCCTACCCCTA